CCTTTCGAGTTCTCTGTCGTTCGAGAGAGAGAGAGAATAAACTTTATTGGGTTCCAGCATGCGGGATTCCCTCCGGCCGCGCAGGGCGTGGGGTTCACCCTATCTCACGTTACACTAGAAGTCCTAATGTCACGCGGGCCTAGACCTCAAGGCCTTCGTGCCCCGTCGCCGCTCGGGTTACTGAGGGTGTCCCCCTTTCGCCTTTGCAGCGCCAGTGCGACCTCGAGCTGCCGGACGGCCCTTCGCTGGTCTTCTGGGTCCGTAGACCCCACACGCTGTTCTACTTGCGGCGGTAACACCGGACCGTCCGCGCTGTCTGTGTCACATCCCCAGAGTATGTGAGCCAGGGTGGCTCTCGCGCTCGCGCACACACTGCACATTTCACTCACGTAGAGTTCGGGGCACACGTGTCGCGCTAGCGATGGGGTCAGCACAGTCTCGGTTTGGAGCTGGCGCAACCTCACCGCCTCCCACCGGGTAAGATCCCTGTGCGGAGGCGGGAAGCCACGCCGTTGCTCCCTGTACCACGCGAGGATGTCGCCGTAATCGAGCAGCTGCTCCTCGCCTTCTTCTTTGGTCGTCGTCGTGTCTTCGGAGGCGGGCGCGGCCGCGGTCCGGCACGTGGCGAGACCACGGGCCGCGGCATCCGCCTCCTCGTTGCGGTTCGGAGATCCTGGTATCAGGTCCCTACCCATGTGAGCCGGGAACCATTTTAGCGTCAGCCTCGACTTGGACTCGTCGCTTGCCAACGCCCTAGCAGCCGCCCCGCACACGGCTCCGCGCGAGAAGCTTCGAGTGTGCGTGCAGTTGAAGGACGCGAAAGGGCAGGCTGGCAGGTAGAAAAGGATGCACTTGCGCAGTGAGCGCTTTCGAGCTTCTCTGGTAGCCGTGAGAAGGCGCCGTGCTTCATAGAGTTACTGTATATGCTACCTAAAGGTAGCATATACAGTAATTTTAGTTGGCCACGCGCTCCCATTATCTCCAAACTTTTGATCACCATGGCACTGTACAGAATCTGGAGCGGCCGCAGGGATCAGATGTTGGCTTAGTCTTTATTTCCTTTTCTGCATGAATGGGCATGTTTTGCGTCGAATGAGCATAACTTGTCTCGCGCGTCGCAGCGCGACATCACTGGGCGTTAACCTGGTACGAAAGATTTCGGGGGGGGGGGGGGGGGGCACGTGCGTGGTGTGCCCCCCCCCCCCCCCCCGGCTAAGTTCCTGGGACTCCGTGGCAAGGTGGCAGCAAGACGACGATGACCAGGTGGGCATGAATCAAAGGGAGAATGCGGCATTGAGAGTGTTCCCAATGCTGTCGAGGCATGGCATACCTTGGAGCGCTGGAACGCTACACATTCACGTCCGACGTCCCGATTAATGCATGGTCAGAAAAACCCTGCCGTAACCAGTCTTTGGGTGGCTCTGTTTTCTTGACGAGACACTCTCTTCAAGGTCTCGAACACGAGGCGACGGATGCTCGCAGGCACGAACAGGAAGGAGGGTTCTGCTGACGCTTGTCACAGCAACCTTGTCTTGGGATCCAGGGAGCACCTTTCATATTCATATTTATTGCAGTGGTCCCGGTCAAAAGGTGTTCTAGCTCGTCGACTACGCGTTAAGCTGCTTCCAAAGCGTAAAATTCAACCTGCAGCGTAGGCACGATGGCATGGATAGGATATTCCGGGAGTGTGCGTCCGCTACAGTGTTGCCGCCGCCTATCATATGAGGGGACGTCTGTCTGATATATAAAACTTTTATGAACCCTGCCCCGTTGGCTGCGCACATATGCAGGGTGTGCGCATAAATGCCCTTCACAGATTCCTCCCTGTCCTTCCTCTTTTATTCCTCCTCCTTTGACCCAGTTCCCGGGTTGTATGCATGTGTTCCACCATCATGTGGTCGACATGTGGTCGGTGAGGACGATAAACTCGATACATTCCAAGAAATGGCGAAAATGTCGGATGGCAGCATACACAGCCTAGTTCTCTACCGAGCACACCAAGCCTCCCCCCCCCCCCCCCCCAAAATTTTTTTTGCCTTATGGTCTACAGAGCAAAAAATTACCATTTCAAAAGTGCCCCCCTCCCCCCCCCCCCCCCCCCGAAAAAGTTCTGCCTACGCCCCTGCCCGAGAGTACTGTAACGGCGTTTGGTGGGGGTTAGCTTCCTAGAAAAAAAAACGAAATGGGTCGTCAGACTCCACCATGAGCTGCTGTAATACCCCAACGCTGTGTCAGAGGAATCTGCCATTACACACTGCGGGAGCAGAGGCACTGCCAGGGGTGGGCGCGGGTGGGCTGGGGTTCCCTAAAAATTTTCACCTAAGCCTCCCCCCCCCCCCCCCTTCAAGAGGGAACAGTCATAACACAATGGCTAAGTTCCCCTCGGAGGATTTTGCCATTATACACTGCGGGACCAGAGGCGGCGCCAGGGGTGGGTGGACATGGCGCATCGAGGGTCTCGCCTCTAAAAGTCGCAAACAAAACTCACTCTCAGAGATCCATTAAGCTGAAACAATTAGGTGTGAGGCTGGGGGCTTCAGGAGCCAGCAGCATAAGCTTTTCAAATCTAGCCCAATTGCAACTCCTGTATAGTAAGTATGTGCTGTCCAAAGAAACGAAGACAAGGGAAGACACAAATGAGCACGTGAGATCTTTTTGACAAAGAAACAATTCGGACGGACATCTTGCAGATACTGGCAACAAGTTTAAGTACACTCGAACTTGATCGCGTGATCTTTGTCAAGTGTGCAAAACAGAGAAGTAATAGAGGCCGCTCACATCAGGAAATCTGGCATTAAATAAGTAAGCACACCAAGTGTGTATTTAAGTGACAAAGAAATGTAGTTTTTGTTTGTTCACCTATGATGCGTCTTGACTTGTTAACACTTGCGCATGTATGAAAGCGGGCTTCATGCTTTTCAAAATCAGTTGGAAGAAACAGCCCCAGTCTAATTCGTTTGTGTGTTCCCTTATTTTCATTTCTTTAAACTGCATGTACTTAGTACATATCAAGACATGAACTAGCTAGCTGACCAATGGAACCTTCTAGTTCAACAACTGGTATAGTACCCTGGAGTGTAGCAAACTGTGTCCCCCAACCATGTAATATACTTTTTAGGAGAGATTCTCTGCAGCTTGCGTCATTGAAGCAGTACCTTGTTCATCCAGGCAGGATATCTTTTCCAAGCTGGGAGTCCTGTATATATACGAGCCCAATTTACCGATTGGAATATCTATTGCTTTCCTCTTGTTCACATTTCTAAGTGCTTACATTTCTGCTTGGAGCAGGAGAGACCTTGTGGATGCATGTGTACATAAAAGTATGCAGATTTTTCTTTGAAAAAAAAAAAAAAATATGGCCATCAATCAAACATATATTACTTGAAAGTAATTAATACTAGCTTCTTCAAAGAGAGTGATAAGTGCTGTAAGGTGGGTTTTATCGTAAAAGAAAGTGTACTTTTCGCATCAGCCGATCACACTGCATATGCGACACATACGCACAGCTAAGATAGAAACGCAGGTCATTTTGTGGGCGCAGCCGCGCGAGTGAGTCATATAGACCAGTGGTTTTCAAGGGGGGGGGGGGGGGGTCTGCGAAGCCATTTCTATGATCTGCAAAACCCTCACCCACATTTTTCGTTAAGCGTGGCTGTGTTACGTATCGATGAATTGTCCAAAATGAAGTGATGTGGCACGTTTGTTTGATGTTTTTGGTAGCAATGAAGGCACCTGTCTCACCCTCCAGTTGTGCTAACTTACCTAAGTGCCCCCCTCCCCCCCTTTCCCCTCCAAGAAATCCCCAATCACTTCCATCAGTCCACAAGGGGTCCCCGACACATCCATGGCTGAGAACCATTGATTTAGACAGTGCAGCTTGACTACTCTAAATGATCACAGACGCTGGGCAAAGCAGCAGGCCTGTGGCAGAGCTACTTGTCAGAGCTGTCACATGAGTAATAATGTAGTGCTTAATTAGTCTGTGTGTCCCACCCTGCAAAGGGCCATGCAAGCTTTTCAGGATAAGACAATGAAAAGAGCTGCTCATGGTCTACTGTAGATGCAACTAATAGAAGTCGTAAGTTGCAAAGAAATGTCACAGATGGGATTGTGCTCACTGTCCTTTCATAGGCACGACTGAATCAATCCACTTCTCTTCATGTCCCTACACTATTAGACTGTCCTGTTTGTTAAGAAGCCACTCTTTGTTCATTTTTATTATTTGAAAACATTTTCTATGCATGGCTTCAGGTGCAATGCGAAGAAATGTGAAATGGTCCTTTTCAGTGTGAACACTGTAGAAATATTAAACTTCTATGTCTTCAGAGTCTTCCCTTCGGCAATGCTAAGTTCCCAAAGGAGGTTCCGTGGCATGTTTGGCAGCTTTAGCCGTAGCAGTTTTGGCCTGCATGAATATGAAGGTTGGCTCGGCGATGACATGCCTGTTCTCATCAGCTCTCGATGCTCACATTGCGCTGCTTGTTCCTTGTGAGCAGTCTGCATCATTATGAAAGTGCAAACTAGCAAAAGAACAAAAGTACTCCTTTGTACTTCACTCAGAGACTCACTCAGCTAGTTCTTGCAAAAAGGCTCGATATTCCTCTGCTGAACCACTCTCTCTCCCCCCCCCCCCCCCCCCTGGTGTGCACCTCCTTGGTTCAATCTTTCAGCAAGGCGTCACTCTTCCCCCCTCCTGGTGTGCCTATCAAGCATGTGCCTATTGCTGAAAAGCCTCACTATCAACATGGCTAGCCCCCCCCCCCCCCCCCCCCCCCCTCCAATGATGCCTCATTCTTGCCACACTGCGATGAAACGCTAGGCCATTGGATGGGGAAGTCTCAACTAAAGATTGCTTCATTAAAATTCATGCGATATATGGTACTCTTGCAGAAGCATGAGGGTTGATGATAAAGCCTCAGGTTGCTTCCGGTATACCAATTATGATACTACTAATTGTGTGCAACAGTGGCTGCAGGAAGACACATAATGAAAAAGAAGAGTGTGGGGGCATGCATGCAGTTAGCGCCATGGTCATTTATTGCTCATCTAAGCTTACCACGCATAAAAAAGATATACTTCTTCCTATATATTACAACATGCTGTCTTCATATCACACTTCCAGGCACAGTTGCCATTTATACATTTCGTGCAGGGCAGTTTGCTCACGACACTTAGTATAAGTGACAAAAAGTGGCCTCTTCTGATAAGCAAAAAGATTATTTAAAAAAATCTGTTCAGTGTTTCTTCCTTACATAGTTATATAAGAACCATATCAGTCACATTTAAGGCCTCGTCAAGCAGTGGAACAAGTCTTGTCAACTGCTACTCAATACATCACGCTAAATAGATTTCTGGTCCAGTGCTTGTGCAGCTTGTGCTAGAACACACACACGCAGTTCGTGAAAGCCACACAAGCGGGGCAGCAACAAGCATGTCGTCCTACATGAAGTTGTGTTCAGATGCCAGGTGAACCGTTGTCTATACAGAAGGGCACTGTTGCTATCATTATGAAGACCAGGCGAACCTTCACGTCGATGCTACGTCTGCTTCCATCATGCTTCGCCTCCTGAAAAAGGAAAAGAAGAGGTTACGCCACACAAGCAGAAAAAATGGTGTCAATTTTTCAACCGTGTTTGTCACACAAACATACCTAATGTCAATGGCTATGAACGCAACCCAGTCAACTGCAAAATGTGTGCTCTAAACCATAGCTTTCACAGTACATTATTATTGATACACTTGAAATAGCATTTATCCTGTATACTTTATTTCATAAATGGCATTCAACAACGCTCCTGTTGGAGTAGCACATGGCAGACTTCTCCAGATCAGCACTGCAACAACGGGTTCCAGGTAGGTACATGATAAAATTACACGAACATGTACAGTTAAGAAGATGAACTCTTTTAGTTCAGTGCTATTGGGGATTTTGAAATTCTTAAAGTGTGAGAGGAATTGCAACAATTCTAAAAATTTGGGAAGGCTTCCACTAAGTTGGAGAACTGGAAAAACTGGACTATTCTGAAGACTAATCTGGTTGCTTCTAGGTAGTTTTCAGGTCTTGGCTATGTGATGAGGGTTGTCTTTGGGTCATGTTTAGCTTTTGTTTGGTTGCCTGGTTCTTTTAGGTCATCTTTCTAGGCTCAGCTTTAGCTAGGCGATTCTAGATTGTTTCTACGTCGATTCTGAGCACAGAGAGGCTTGAGCTAAATCACAGACAGCCAGACACAACATTTACAGTATGTCCGAACTCCAGAGACAGAAACTCTCAATGAAATCAAGAGTTCCCACCTCTCAGTGACCTACGAGCTAGTTGTCGTCGACATAAGTTTTCTATCGCTTCAGGGTCTTCTTGTAACCACGGTTGCCTTTCTCGTTCCCTTGTGTTGGGCTAACGGTTTCCTTCTTCCTTTTCAGTGGACCAGTGGTGAGATGTGAGATTTATCCAGTTACATTACAGTTACACAACACTTTCAAATTGTTTCCAAAAGTTTAAGATGCTGCATTTTCCGCACTGTGGTACTAAGTGTCAAGACTTAAAAAACAGCACTGCTGAAGCGTTAATAAAGAGGGTGCTACTGTACCTCGTCTCCAGACGCTTGCACTTAGGACAGGCACCAGGCACAAAACAGGTTCTGTGGAAGCATGCCTGGCAGCCTGCACACATGCACGCACAAAAGCAACTAGCACCAAACAATCAACAGAACTTTCACCAGGCACCTCGGGAGAAAGAAAATGGCTACACAGGCAGCCTCCCTAACATTCTCACATTCACCAGATGAACATAAAAGAACTTTTTTGTCAGGACACTCAATGGCGTAAATGGCAGATACCCAGAAGTGTCAATCAACAATGTACTATCAGTGTCAAATGAAACCCGACCAGCGGCAGGCCTTTGCGATAGTACAGTGTGCGCCGCCCACTTATCACCATGAACAGGCAGGCATATACCTGCAGAGCTGTGGAACAGAATCCACGTGCCTGTAAGGTGGTAATAACTGGACAGTGTGCACTATACTATCGTGAAGGCTTGTCGCTGTTCCTGTTTCATTTGAAGCTGACAGCACATGTGACCGCAAAAAGTGCTGCTAGCTTCACTTCTCAAACAGTGCCAAAACAGTGAAGCTGAAGCCGCCCTTTGTCAAGCTCACCCTCCCACATACTTGTGCACCTCTCATCCGTTCACTCTTCACCATGACTCATTCCTGCACACCTTGACGCGGTGCAGCCCTTCCTCTCCTACAGAGTCCCACTTGCGGCACACCGCAAGACTTCATGACCCGTGCTATGCCAATGGATGGGGAAGCCAGGACTAAGAGCATTCTGTTAAAATTGGCACAGGAGCGGAAATTAAAGCTAAGCTCGATTTCTCTCATACGCCGTCCCGTAGAGACAGGTCCCAAGCCATGTTGAAAAGCGCTGTGTTTAGAATCGGTGCTTTGAAGTGAATGGCTGTTTTTTGGCAGATATTTTTTGGAAGGGCAAAACAATGCAGCATGCACTGTAAGTAGTAGAGCCACTGCAGTGCATTTTGTTAGGGCTTTCAACTATCGAAGCACCCAGTGTGATCAAATTTCTTGATGTAGAAGATGAAAAAAGGTACGGGTATGTAAATCCACAGCCTTTCTCTGGTCTGGGCACAATGTTTGGGTTATACATCATTTCCACAAAAAGGGGGCAGCTCCTTTCAGAATTTCGAGACAACAGTAGCAATCTCATTAAAAAATTGGCCAAGTTAGACTACATGGTCAAAAGCAAAGTCATTTTGAAGTTAGACGACCAGACTGAATGGTGCACAAGATTGGTGTTGAAGATCAAACCATCAGAAATGTTTTTGCCCTGAATATGACTCAGCCGAGCTGGAGTGTTTGAGCACTGTATGTAGCCATGCCAATCCACCTCCTGAGGCCAGGTATAGCCGGTGTGTAGGTGTAGCCGGTGTGACATACATTTGTATGAACCCAGTGGCTGCCTGTAAAGCGAGGATTGTGGGACTTTATACCATCATAAAAGTGAGCATGCTGGGCCTACTTTTGCTGGCTTTAGTTTCACCAGAAATGTTTTGTCTGAAGTCTTGGACAAAGCAGGATAGCAGTTAATTACACAGCAGTCACTTCCTGATAAAACTGAAGAGAATATAAACCTTACGGTTGCCAGTTTCTGTGCTGCAATGCAGCGTGGTGCAGCCTTGGGGAATAATGTTAGGGTGCAGCTCAACACAGGAAGTCATAAATGGAGCATTTTGACACAGCTGTAGCACTAGCCGCACACCACACAACATTGAGAGTTGCAGAGAAGGTTGCTACCTGTGCACTGTGCGGCTACAGCCAGCTGGAAAGGGAAGACCAGCTGGTCTCCATTGTGGCAGATCTCACAGATGAAACCACGGCCCGTGCAAATGGGACATGCCAGGCAGTGGCGCTCACACTCATCTTGCAAGCCCTGTAGCTGTGCCAACAGAACACCCTGGCGTGCCTGCTCTAGATCCTCCAGGGAGTACACGTGAGGCTCGTCTAGAAGATGCTGCTGCACTGACCCCAGGGAGTCCTGCAGCCTGCAAGAAATCAGGTGGCTTGATCATGTCTTCTATTTTGCCACATCGCTTGCACAGACTATGCCCAAATAATTGAGCAAGCATGCCATCCCACAGTTGCTCAAGATGGGCCGTGTAAAGTGATTTTACTGCAGAACACTGACATAATTTTGTTGAGTAGGTAGCGACACATTTAAAGTAGACTCAAGCTTCTTTTCTTGTGCCCCGCTCAGAAGCTACCGTTACTGCCCAATTATTTTAATTTTCTAAGCATGGCTTGCCTGTCATATTGATATTCAACAGTGGTCACCAGTGCTTCACTTCTTAGCTCTATCTCTCAAACATTAGATCATAGTTACTGAATTGGTGCTGCAGAAAGCCAAGTATGAACTGTCAGAACAGAGACGAATTTCAGTTTTTTGCTCTCTTACAGGACTTGATATGGAGGATATTCCGGAGGCTGTCTAAGGCCAAGATTGCAGGCAATTTGTTCTGCTCAGGCTTGTAAAGCATGAGCCTCCTTATTTCAACAAGCATGCAGGAGCTTACACATGAAATTTTTTGGCAGAGGACAACATAGGTGCCTGCCAGAGTGGTACATGGCAGTCCATCCTCCATTGCATTGAACAAGCAACTAAAAAAAATTGGGCCGAATCTGCATGTTACAATGCAAATGTCGTTGAAAGACGACAGTCTTGCGTCTGGAGAGAGTGAACAAAACGTTTATTTGATGTTCTGCGCAAGAAAATCGGTGAATGGTATTCTGGAGGCCCTGCATTAGAGTGCCTCGAGCATGTAGCAGAGGCGAACAAGCGCATCGAGGCCCGTTAAACATGAGCACCATCTGTCAGTTATCTTCGAAAACGAAGGCGTGCGCGCCCGCGGAGAAAGTTGCGCGCCTGTCTCGGAGGTGATAAAGTGTAGAACGCAAAGCGACGGGCAGGTGCCACCACCACGTCGTCGTAGCAAAGCGTTGGAAACACCTTTTTGAGCATCGCGTTGCACTGTCAGCGCAGCCCGATAAACGCTACAGTTCTTAGCGTTACTTGTGTGTGCCTTTTCTAGTATAAAGAAAGACATACAAAACATCGACGTGTTGTTATGGCACCTCAGATATGCGCAATAATTGCTTCTTAATTGACAATCGCACAACTATGAATGCTAAACCTTGAGCAATATTGGTGGGCGCTGCGGATGGGGTTGGCCATTTGATGCCGTTTGAGGCATCGTTAAGGGCGGACAAACAGACAAATGTACAGACAGACAGACCAAAACTTTTTCGTCGAAGGTCCCCAAGAAAGACTATCGTCTTTAATAAACCATATATGCCCCATAGCAGTGCTGAGCCCAGTCACTCATTCCAGGTAGGAAATGGGGGTCTTGAAGCATGACCAAGAGGAAGGTGGAACTATAAAGTGTTAATGCGATCACAAGACTGACTCATCATCATTTCCAGACTATTACGTACACTGCAGGACGAAGGGATTTTTCAATGAACTCCAGTTTGCCCTATCCTGTGTGAGGTGATGCCATTTTATTTATTGGAACTTCTTTAATTCATCACTCTCCCAAACTCTGCCTTTCTTGACTGAATTTTCCATCCCTTGGTAATCATTCTGTAGCTATAACAGACCACCAGTTGTCTGTCCTGCACATTACATGGCTAGCTCAGATTAATTTTTGCATGTCAACCGGACTATCTACTTTCCTTCTTTTCTCTTTCTCGTACACATTTTACCGTTCTCCAATCCCTTGTCATTACTCCTACCACTGCCGATTCTCTATTTTATTGCACAATGCACGACCATTAAGCTTTTCTAAAGTTTCTCTGTTATCCTCCATGTTTTCAGCCCCATATTTCAGAACTTAAAGGGGGTACTTGCTCCCAACCTATGTAATGTTTTTATCTCGTGGTGCCCCTACGTAGTAACTGGACGGGGTGATGGCCGACATTGTTGCTCAGTTGGTAGAGCATTGGAGGCATTATTTGAAGGTCACAGGTTTGATCTCTGCCAGTGACAAGTTATCTTTTTGTCCACTTTTCTTTCTTCCCATTGAAGGGGTCCACTCACAGCTGGCGCAGAAGCCCAGCTCCAGGTCCATGCAGCACACAGTCGTACTGTGCGCGCATCTACGATTTCTTCCCGTAACCCGTGTCATCGCAGCTACGATGGGTTCGGGCGAATAAGGCAACAGACTAGGTCAACAAACACTTTATTGCTACGTTTGCAATAACATATAAATGTTGTGTAGAAGGATAGTCCACTCTGTCTAAAAAATAAAGGGTAAGGCTTACTCTTTTCTTATGAAGCATGGAAACTTGGGCAAGTTGGTAGGACATGACTGAATATACCAACAGTTGTATTTACAGCGTAACTACGGAAGCATAACTACCTGCTTCCGTAGTTATGGTTGGTTCACACCAACGACTAGCAGCGGTCGCGCGACCATTTGTGACTTGTCGCGAACATTCGCAAAAAGTTGCGAACGATCGCAAACGGTCCCAAAGTGATTGCTTTGGCTAGTTGCTTCCCGACCGATTTTTCAGTCGCGCAACGGCAGTCGCAAAGCTGCTGAAACCAATCAGCGATGCCCAGAAGTGACACCAGCGGTTATTTATATCCAGGCTCATTGCTTTTTTTTGTTTTTTGATGGCGCAGGCCCCCAGCAACCACATACAAACAAGTGCGTTCCTCTTGAGCTGTGCTATCATGGCCACCACAAAGTACTTGGCTTCAGGATGGCGGGCGCAGAAGTGGGACTTATTTGTCCCCCGTCGCTAGACTGCTAGGCTGTGGCCGAGCTGCAGTTAAGGAAAAGAAAACGCGAGCTCGCACCCTCTCCCATACTGTTTACATTACAGTTACTACTGACAGCACACCCAATACTTTCCTTGCCATAATTGTCCATTATTTCTTATTGACTGGCAATATAGGCACCCAGCGATGAAATTTTCGAGATGCAACAGTAGTGCCAGAACACACAGCCTGAGGCGTAGAAGCATTGTAGCTGAGGAGTCTTTGTACAAAGATGTCAGCTATATGCAGTATGTGTAATTCTGCTGGAATGAAGCAATGAGTACTCTAACAATGGGAATTGCTGGTTGCCTGAGCTATGCACTGCCTCAGGGTCCACAGTAGTGGAGCTGCCATATGTTTTTAGGGGCTTGCTCCTAAAGCTCACGCCCTGTCTGGTGGCCACTGGCATGAACACCCGTGAGGCCAGTGTTTTTGGGTCACTGCTCAAAGTCGCCTCTCCGGTGATTTCACCAATGCTCTCTGGATGGTGCGCCGTCACCTAAGGTGGTTTTCGATGGACCATGCACTCGCCTCGTTGTGACTATGTACACTTCATTCTCGTGGCTCCGTAGGTACGGCACCACGTGACAAGTTCCCGCGATGAGTGTTACGCACGGGTACCGATATCCTCCTAAGCCCCCTCACCTGCCTGCTGTCAACTTTGTTGAACGCCTGATAGCTCTACGTCTGCCATTAATGAGGGTTAGGCCTTTGACTCACAGCAGCAGCCAGTATGGCATAAAGGGGCAGGTGGTTAAAATAATGATCGAAGTAGTTGTCTTACAGCACTGTGCAGTGGCGGCCATGGAACGTGTCTGACAATGCTGCCTTCAACGCACACATCAAGCGCCGGCTCATTAAAAATCCTTCCGACAGAAATGGTCTCGCCATAAAATGCCCTGTGCACCAATGTTTCTAGAACTAGGTAAGTTGCGAAACACCCCACATCAGCTGACCTATCACGCGTCACCGGGACAGTTCCTGGTTTGGTTGCGCCGGCGGCGCAACAAGCTTTTGCTGGCAGATGAAAACGCGTAGCCGCGTGGCAAGACGCAGGAGCAGCCATTTAAGAAGGGGCTTTGCGAACAGTATATTATTGGGATTTTTCGTTGTGCTACTGCAGCAACGTAAGACTGCATAATATTTAGTGGTGTACCGCAAAAAAAGTGTGTGTACCGCAAGAAAAGTTTTAAAATTTATTTACACATGCAATGCAGTGAAACAAATCCAGATATTGCATGTACAGTGTGATGCACACAGACTGCACAATTTATTATAGTTTCACGCATATACTTTATCAGTGCAGATCTAACTATAAAAAATTTCATTGAGATTGTAAGCCTTCGGGCTAGCAATGCTCAAAAAGAGGCAGTTCATGATCAAAGTACTGCTATAGCGCATTCCTTGTGCGTCTTTGGCCTTTGCCTGCTTTAGCGACAATTTAAATGTCACTTGCTGAATAGGTTGGAGTACACTTAAAGCCTCCTGGAGGCTTTTATCTGGTTCTGTAATCAGCTTTTTTTTTTGTGTCAGTCACATTCTTTAGCAACTTAATCCATCAGGAAGCTATGCGTGCAGCCATTTTCTTGAGCATGTCCTCCCTCTGCTTTTTCTTCTCTATGTTTTTCTAAAAAAAAACCTGTTTACACAGCTTAAGCCAATGCTTTGAGCAGAGACTGCAGTTAGGGGTATCGGTGATCAATTTGCAGTCATTACTCATGAGGCTGCCTGCTGACAAATTGGGACAAGCTGAACACACTTTCAGCTTTTCTATGTTTTCCAGAAGCTTGACGAATTGGATGATGTATCTACATTGTTGGATGACTTGGCTAAGCGACCACGGCCACTAACGATGACTGTCATGTCTTCTGCAATGACTTGGCATTTCTCCACAAGTGGCGTCCTTTTTTTTTCCTTAAGCACGAAAAATGCCACAAAGCGTCCTGTGTCGCCATTTTCAACAGCTTTCCCCCAGCATGCAAACAAACTCTTTCGATGTCTTGAAGTGAAATGACGCCACTCGCAGACAGCACGTTGGGACTGCTTCATTGCTTTCGGGCGCAGTGCTTGGGGATTGACTATTCTTTCTTCGCCGATGATATTCTGGCAAGTCTCCCACTTCTATCGGGCAGCTTTAGCTTCTTTGTCGTGGGTTTTGAAAGGTAAGCGGGCAAATTAGTGTAATTAGTCTCTGTGGCAATACTTTTGGAATGTGTCCTTCAACGAGGTCTTACTTTCCTCTGGCGACTTGCACCTTCTTACCATTGATGACGTGAGTGAAAGTCTTCAGGGTGTCTTCCTTATAAAAGTGCATATCACACACATGTGACGTGTTTGACAGTTTTTTATCTGCACAAGGAATAACGTGATCGCAAGCCGCTCGCTGCTCAGGATCAAGCGGAGCACAAAAGAAATGCGGTGTCTCTGATTATCTGTGATCACTCGAACAGCCGGGGATGCAACATGTTAGCATGATGAAGACACGAAACACATACAGAGCACAATAGGGCACGGTGAAGCATAAAACTGTTCACACAGAAGGCAGCCTCTATGAATACCGACGCGCTGCAACATTAACAGCGGAAGAAGGTTATGGGAGTGACAGGAGCGAACATAACATTGCTCAGTTTTGCAACTTGCCCAGTTCTATAAACGTTGCCGTGCACCTTCGAGCAAGCGCCTCTAACATACACTTTGTGGATATGGCAGAGATTTTTTTTTTCATTGTCACCAACTCGGCCACATCAAGCTCCTCAAACTCTGGCTAGCGATCGCTCTGCTTGAGTTAGTACAATGGCAATGCACGACACTAAACTACAAGGGCTGCATGCATTGGCACAGTCCGTAAGCTTACACAAGGGTCCTCAAAGCTTTGTAAACTACATTGCAAAACGCAGGAAGGTAACCCAGCTAGCAACATTGTGCCCCTTAAGTACAGCTAAGGACACCCGAAGTTTTTGTTCTATCATATAACAGGAGCTTTGTGGCATCTCTGTGGTACTAACAGCGAAGAAGGTGGCAGTAACATTAGCAATGCCTTCACGAGGCAAATCTATGTGCTGCAGGGTAAAGGAGAGTCACCTTCTTTACTTGTAGGACAATCTGCAGCCAGAAGGCTGGTAGAATTTTTATATCACACTCTTGCAGCATTTCACATTCACTCAGTAAGTGGACATACCAAGTGCACTCACTGAGTGGCCAGGCGGCAGCAGAGGATGTACTGGTGCAGGTAGTGCAGTGCAGTGCGGCACTGCCGTAACCGGTTGAGCACCTTGACCCTTCGGTACAGGTCCGTATTCAGGTCACGAATGTCGAACAGGGGGTCCGCAGCCATGCGGTCAAGCAAATCCCGAGCAAAGTTGGACACCGGCTGAGGTGAAAAATCCCAGCGCTGGAGCACACGTCCCGGGATCACTGCCCGGCTGTTGCTATGGCAACAGTGGCAGAAAAGCTTGCCCAGGTACTCACAATAGCGCAGGCGGCTCAGCTGAGCTGCGTTTGGCAAACAAAGCTTATTACTTTTCAGGACAATGCATGTCTTGAAACTTATGGTGTAGCCAGCAGTCATTATTACATTATATGAGCACTTAACTATATAACATCACAATTTGCGCTTTCATTCCACTAATGGCCAAAATGGCTGATTTGGTGAGTGGTGATTTATGATACTTGAAATACGGGCGCATGAAACAAAAACAGGGACCTTAAGCAGACAAGGACAAGCTCGTACTACCTATTGGAAAACTTATTCTTAAATCTGTGACAAATATATACTAACAGATAAAAGTTTTGTAATACATAGGATAAAAGAACCCAATGAAAAACATTCAAAAACAATCGATAAATATTTTTAACAACCATGCTCTGACAAAACCCACATTGCTTTGCAGAACTTACCGCATAGCATTTTGCCCCTTTCCAAAAACGCAAGCTCCTTATTCGACAAGGCAATTGATAGTTTACTCACACAAGTCAAGTTTTATTGTGGTACTTGTCATAAATTTGGTACATGTTATACTCTTGAAACACAAAAAGGCAAAAGCATGGCTGCATCACATAAAACAAATAAGCCACAATGAGTAAGTACACACCTTTTGCATTAAGTCTTCCTTATGAAAACCTCATGTGAGTATTTTTGAGTGCATGTCACTTGCAACACTGTGCACACATTAGCGATGTATCGACAACACGTCTGTAAGGTTCTAGTATTCACACCTACATAGCTGCACACTCTGTTGACGCCGATGATGTTGAGCCCTTTGTAAAGGGTAGGAAGGTTTATATACCACTCACTTGTGCAAGTGACGGTGTTATTCTATGCTTGTTCCATGCAAGACTGTGATGTCACTTCTTGCCCAACATGATGCCTGCTTCGGTTCTCTTACAATGCCGCTTTGGGCATACGAGTGGTTCTATGGCACAACACTTGACAGACCCACAAAATGCCTGTGTTTTACTCTGGCTCAGACCCCGATTTTTCCCTGCTTTTGGATGCTAAAATGCAAATAAATACAATTTTTAATATTAAGTGTAGTACATAATTTACAGCACAGGTGGCACATGCAGTTTGTTTTCACATTGACGCATGCGAATTCTACATACTTTTCACACTAGACCAGTATCTGTGCGACTTAAAATGTTAGTGCAATGCAATGTGACGGACACCTAAACTGGTTTGAAATGCGATAAAGAAAATCTATTTACACATGAAAATCCTCTTGTATAGATTATTTAAAACACATAAATAGCAACCATTCTTAAAGTTCATCAAATGCAGCAATCAGGACACGGTGATGCAAAGCAACCTTCGTCACAGATTAACAAGCCATGACTTGATTCGGGGGAGGCTATCCATCCCCTGACGTATCCAAAAGAGCAGTGCTACTGTACTTTTTGTGTGTCCTGGCAAAAAGGTTCCTGTATGAAATAAGGCTAGGTTTTACAACAAGCCAATCATCCGAGTCAGCGTACCTTGGTTCACACGCAGCCCACAGCCGGCACAGCGATAGTTCTGCTTGGCCAGTTGATCCTTGCGCCTGGACAGAGTGCATCAGTGCTGGACCAGCCTTCAGGCAATGTCTTACATCTCTGCCTTGCAACATTTTTCACACTTACACAGCTAAACACACAAGAAATGCCAATCTCCCTGTCCGCTTCAACATGTATGATGAAAGCCTAAATTTTCTGATGCCAAGTACAGAAATAACATATCTGTTAGATCCAATTGTTGTCTGTTAGATCTAATTAATTTATCAATAACAAAGAAAATGAGCTTTTAAATGTACACTTATTTCCTTCATACCTGCAAGAAACTCAAACAAGCACTAATTCATTTTTAACAAAGCATTCTCCCCACTCTTCTCCCCTATGTTTTTTTTATTCTCCTTAACCCTTTCATGCCCTAATTATAAAACGACCCATGAAAAAAATATTTTTTTTTGCATGACATATCAACTTTTGTGTCCAAAATGCAACTTTAATGGATACATTTAGGGTTGTCGCGAATTCACGACAACCGGCTTAAGGGGGCACACTGGTCTTAGAAATTTTTTTTTTTTGCTTTCCAACCAATTTTAATGAAACTCCATGGGCTTGTTCAGTTTTTTTTAGCTGATTTCAAATATCCAATTAGTTTTGATGTAAGCTAATTAGTTCCCGAGATAATTAAAAATCTTTCGTGATTGTTCTTGAGAACAATAGAAAAAAAACTAGTCAACAAAAAATTACCAGCATGGCATGAATAGATACTAGAAGTTGTGGAGAATGAAATGACGGAAGCAGTTTTTTTGTCTGGCAATCACACATGCAAGTTTACATCAATTCTAATTTCTCGGTTTAAAGTATGCCTGCTAACCAGTTATAAACAATGCTAATTAAACAATTATTTAAACGTGAAATGCAAAATCTGTTTCCCTTACTTCAGGTTTAAACATTCAGCTTGACAATGACAATTATCTTTCTAGCTGCACCGCATGCCGAGATGTACCTCTCAAGAATTTCCTAAACGTCAAAAATATGCATTTTGAGAAAATGGCAAAAAACACAACGGTGCCATTTAATGTAAACGGTAAAACATTCTGTACATTTTTGGAGCGAAATGACTAGTAGGCCCCAGAAGCATAGTCCCCTTGACTGCTGGCATCCAGGTGCCGCTTCTTGAGCGTCCGCTGCACATTTTCTGCAGACGCACGCCTGAGAGTAGAGTCCCTGGTTCGGCGGCGGTCTTTTGCAGCCATGCGTTTGCTACTCAGTAGGCCGGGGTTCAAGCACAGCTCTTTGAGGATCTTGGATGATGTTACTTGACTTCCGGCATTAAACCTCATCACTGCCTCGGCGACCGCAGCTTCTACACTCTGCAGTGATGCATGGCGCTCCTTCGGGCACAGCGACCAAATCACAGAGTGGAGACTTTCATTACTGTTCTGAGTCTTGCCTCGCTGGCAGCGCTCCAGCAGCTTCTTGTCCGCCAAGCGTTCGTACACTGGAAGCAAGGCCTCACAGACATGCGGCGGCAGGTTGTAGCGGTGTTTGGGGGCCGGCTCACCCCTGGCCTTGGCAGCGTTCTGGCGGCACCACGAGTCAGGACCTGTAGGGCACAGGCTGTGGTTGGACACGGCATCGTTGGACGTCACATGGTGGTATGTGGCCATCACAGCATTGTGCATGGCTGGCACGTCCCCTTGGTGAGATTTGATGGCCCAGCCATAGTAAGAGGTCAATTTGTTAACCAGATCACCAGTCAGCCGCCCCCTAACACTGAGGCTCTCAGAGCCAGCTGGTCTCTGCTTGGGGAGATTGCGCAGTTGCGTGCCCATCCTCTTCTGGACGTGGTTCACACATTCCTCTTTGGTTACCTTTATAAAACCATACACGTCTGCTTCCTTCAAAGCAGGGTAGGTGCAGCAGTCGCCATCAGAAAGAACTGTAGTGTATCTCAGCTTATGACGCTCCCACGACCTCTGAAACAGAATGAGGGCAGCTTCCACTTCCATCTCTCCAGCTTTTTTTGTGCTGTTTTTCTGGCAGTGGTGGTTCGCTTTCCACTCGTCGTAGGACGGGTCACTTTCTTTAGGCGCCCGCTCGCAGCCGGCACAAAAATTGCAGAGCACGACATAATCGAGCGCAAGCCCCGTAAACAACTCGATAACTGTGCCGACTCCGATGTGCGACGAGTGTCCCCTCGTCACCCAGGAACCGTCGTACGACACAGCGATGTTGCCCGGGTTGCCGAGGTCCAGTTCCGCGTACAGTTCCGGAACCGATCGCGCGCACTCCGCGGTCAGCTTTTCCAACGCACGAACAGCTGCGGGCGTCAGTTTCATCTTCACGTAGCTCTGCCACGTTTTGTTGTGCAGGCCGCGCGAAGAAATGTTCATCGATGAAAAAACGTCGTTGAATGCCGTTTGCCGATTGCCAGTAGACTGCATAGCGCGCGCGCTCCTAAAACATTGATGGCAAACGGCTTTGCCTTGCTCTCGCCGTCAACGTGCGGCGAGCTCCATGCCACCGACACATCGCCGCAGGTCGCGCACGTAAGCACTAGCTTTATGGCAAGGCCGTACTCCCTGTCCTCTTTGCCGATGTTTACATCACCGGAGCACAATTTGCACTTCACTGCACGCATCAGTTCGTTCACCTGGTCCAAACTCACGATCAAAAACCGTGTTTCGTCCAGCGGCGTGGCTGCCGCATCGTCGATATCGGCTAACAGGCCGCACTTGCGTTGTGTTGCTCCAGTTGAAGCGAGCTCTTGCAGCTTGTTTTCGGCGTTGCGATGCACCTCTGCCACTTCTAACGGGTGCAGCACTGCTGTGTCAAGACGAACGCGGCCGCTGCCGGATGCGTTATCTTGAGCGGGCGGCGGTGTAGGTGCTAGGCCTATGTTATCAGGGGCCTCGCCGCTGGCCACGGAAGGTGGGTCGCTTGCTCGTTCAGCGCTCCTCACTGACGCGGAACGGCCTTTGAAGTTCTCGAGGAGCGACTTCTTTCTTTTTTTGCCGTACTGATTCCTTGTGCGGAATTTCCTTCCGGCTTTCCACATCGCGCGCGATCCTTGGCTAATCCGTCGTTCTCAGTCCGAGCAATATGGTGCCTGACTGCGCCGCCGACGGCGCGAAGCAGACGACACACGCCGCTTGCGGCCAATCGCGTTGCGCTGTTTAGACACGTGCGCTCGCCGGCGAATAGGAACGCGTATTTTTGCTTTTTTTGGCGCGTGTTTTCTACTCTACCAATGAGCGGAGAGGAGCCAGAGTGGCGGTAAATTGAAGACCGAAGACCGCGCTTTCAAATGAGACCTAGATCACTGCGATACTGCCCGTGGCGCAGCGGCGGGGAATTATTGAAAAATTGCAATTTTGGCGTCAGAATCTCGCCAAATCGGGCTTGTACGGCTTTTATAAGTAGCTGTTACTGTTCAAGTACCAACTTTTCGGAGGAAAAACTGAGCAAACTAATAGAAAAATACCTGTAGATTTCAAAAATGACATCTAAAAAAATGCGTTTTTGGGCAATTTTTCGGCCCCAAAGACCCGTGTGCCCCCTTAAGCCAGTATGCGTCTCAACAATGATATACTACGTTCAATGTCGAACCTCCTTGCAAGAGGCACCAGGTGATGACTTGTATAGTCACTTGTTTAATGCAAGTTTGGCTACATTGTTTTCACAACAGTCATGCGACACCATGTCGGCGACTGTGTGGGAACCCTAGCTTACGCCTCTTAATATAGCAGACTACTGGGGAGTCAAAAGTGACATAAATGTGACTGTACCGAGAAATTGATCTAGATCGTCATGAGGCAGAGCCAGTCGTTTGTCAGGATTTTTTTGTGTTGAAAAAAGACAGCTCTGCTCAACAATGCGACCCATGAAGGCAACACCAAAAGCTCCTTGAAATATGCAATAGGACCTCAGACAGGGTCACATTAATGAAGAGCGACTTTCCAATGTGGAATTTCCCGCTGTTCTTGAGAGACCTTTTTTTTTTTTTTTCATCGCACTATGTGTTTTAGACACGCACTTGGTTCATGTATTGCATCTTCATCTTCATCCTCACTGCTTGATGAAGGCAGTTATGCTTGTGCATATGAACCAGAATCGATATCGTCGTCTTTGTCATTAAGATGGCTATTATAACTTTTATCATCTGCTGGCAAGTGTGTGCGAAGCCCTACTTTCCCATAAACTGAGTGGACGTCCATAACCTATCAAAAAATAAAATATGAACTTGTCGTAGCAGCAGTCACCACTTACTGTCTCAAAGTCCGGATGTCGCGAATTCGTGACATACAACAAAAACGAGGATCGTGCAACAAAAAATGTACTTCATAATAATGTAACGAGTCATGTGCAACATCTTGGATGTGTGCACACTGAAACATTTTTATAGAAGATTAAACTTTGTTCACTCAGGCAAAAAAACAACAACGAAGAAGTGAGTGCTGCTGCATGTGCTTGGCGCACTCTGCCATCAGCTACAGAACATTCGGTTTCAGCTTAGAATACTACACATGAGATGGCGCTAGATGTCTCATGCTGAAAGATACGTTCGCCGCGAATACATGACACTTGGATTGAAGACAGCATGCGTTTCGAGTGATGTGTGGTTAGCGTTTTTCGGTATGTCGCAATTCGTTGACACAGAGCAATAAAGGGTTAATTATGTAATAGACCCTTCTGAATGTCAAGAAGTCCTGTTGAAAAAAAAAAGGGGGCATAGCACGGTCCCAGGTTAATTAAAGATATTCATATGAAACAAACATGCAAGTACTGAGCTCCACACAGGGCTCGGCCAACAGCATGCATTTGTGCTGCCACCAGACAAAAGCCCTGATAACGTCCACCATTAAACACTCTGCCACTGCCCCGTGGTCACGAACACACTCTAACATTTCCTCGGCCTTGTTTTAAATGTGGAAGATTGTCAAAGGACCGTGCAAAACTTGCAGGAAACAATAGAACTGGTGGTTTCCGAGGATGTTCTACAATTATGTGTCTCATACTATGGTTATTAGGATAATAAAGAAAGTAGAATAACTGAACACAGTAAACTAGTTAATTAAAGGGTAAATAAAGAACAGCTCGAGAGACCATAGGTGAGTCGTAATATTATCCACTCAGTTCAATTTGCTTTTTACCTGCCTTTCATTTTTCTTTTTCAAGTCCTGGATGAAGTTACACAGGGCAAACTGCATGTGACAGCACTCTGTCAAAAAAGTCAGCACCGTCAAAACCAGGAGTCTTATGCTAATCTAAGGCACTGCGCTCTTGCAAGAGCATGAAATCTAGACTAGCCTTGCACACAAGTGTTCCCTTTAACAGTGGACCCGTCTGTACATGTACAGTTGTGTTCACAGTTAAAGGGAACACTTTTGTGTACACAATGTCTAGATTTTGCTCTCTGGCAAAAGCACAGTGGCTTAGATTTGCACAAGACTATTGCTGGTTGACTGATATGACTACTTTTGATAGACAATTCCTGTGCACGATTAATGTTTCTGCGGCTACTTGTAGTTATAGAGCCTGCAATATGACAGGTTCCGTCATAGTGTTTCCTTTACCACTGGACGGTACAGTACATTGCCATCTAATACCACAAGACTGTCAACAATTGACATGTGCTGCCACACTCTGGAATTGTGTGCGATTTCTTCCTTGTATCGATGTCTTAATTTTGTTCTTTTCATTTCTTTACTATGGCAGCGAGCCGGCCAGTTTAGGTTTCATTCTTCAGCCCGTTCGCTATTGACATTAACCCGCTTGTTGCACCCGCATAAATGGCGGCTTTCAGATTTATATTATTTTAAAAGGCAACCAATTTGTTACTCTCTTGTTTATTGCTCACTGGTATGCCATTGTGCCTCTTTCTGTACAGGCGCTGACTGACACAAATGATGACGCTGTGGTTGAGTTTCCAGTTTTGGGAACTCACGGAAAACCGCTTCCATTTCGTTGGTGATAAGGCGGGGGTTATTATAGGTTTCAACCTTCTTTTCATTTTTTTTTTGGTCACGCTCACAACTACACAGTTTTTTCAGCATGCTCACTCGTGCAGTTTGCTCAGAACTGCTGCTCGACTGCCGTATCAAATTCCGATTATGCAGCCAGTCATACAAGGAGTTTGTTACGAGTTAAAACTCAGATGTTGAGTAAGTGACATCTCAAAAGCATGAGCGGCAAGATGGTGCTGACTGGATCAAAAGTGGTTTTTCTCCCCATATGTTTTAAATTTACACCACTTGGAGCACTTACTTTTGTACCTCTGTGACCTACACAGATGTTTATCTCAACACAATTTTTGAACAGTCTAATGTGTTTCTTTAAACATTATCTTGCTGGTACTCATGAATAAACCACGCGTATGTAACAGTGCAAATTATTTCCTTGTCGTTTTAAAACACCAAAAAAATTTTAGACAATTTTTTTTTATACATTCATCAAAGTATTTAATTCAGCAATAAAAAAAGTAACATTTTTACAGTCATATTTTTTGAAAAAAAAAAAAAAGTCGACCCTCATAGACTTGACCAATCACAGGCCTGCACTTGGCTTCGTCATTCCTACCACTAGAAAGTACCATAGTGTGCTAATGCAGTCAGCTGCCTCATAGCAATATCTTTGCTTCCAATCTGCTGATATCAGTGCTTTAAGCTACACTAAAACTACCTTCAGTTATCATTCTATTCAACATACAGACGTGTTCACAGCAGGTCTGTTCAATTTCACCAGCGAAGCAGCTAAAAGTTAGGTAAATAGCATCTAGCTCTTAATTGCACAATTGCATCTAGTGAATAATGGCATCTAACTCTTAATTAAAGAATATCAGGGCTACTGACATCGAAGAATCTCAGTAGTTTACCTCAGTTCTGGCTGCATACTGAAGATTATTTGTTCCCTTGGCTGGTGCCCACTCAGAGTTCCCTCGAAGACGCATCTGTGAAAACAACAAGGACCCTTGTGGAAGAATGTGGAAGCAAGCTGACCCTTATCAATGCACTTTATGTAATCACTATGTGACCAATGAGGTTCCACTTTAGCACATGATCACTAGGTAACATTACCTTATCACAATTATTCTCATTCACATGTGCAATGTGCACTTTGCTTCATCATTCTGCAGTTAGTCATGTTTCATTTTGACATAAAAAGAACAAAATCCTAGGCGCCATATGTGTGCTTAATTAGATTTCGGTTGCATTAATTCCAAGAAAAAGTAATAATATTTGATGTTTGATCTAGAAAGTGGCACATCAAATGACCCGTCAAACATCATAGTGCCTTCACCAAAGTCATAGACTGATGCGATACACAGCACATCGAGGCTAAAGGTCAAGACATACTTACTATGCAAAAGCTCAATTCATCCTATGAACAATGTACGGTATGTTGTCCTCTTTTGGCCACAAGCTAACACAAGATGCACAACTAGCATAAACAATTTGCATACAAAAACGTAACCACTGCTGAAGGGAATATTTAAATGCTCGACATTAACCATGGGAACGAAAGATAAGACTACAATCACCAACTAAAGGAAAGGAACTAAAATCTACACATCAAAAAGAGATTTGACTACACATTGCAAAACACTGAAGTTACCAGATATGAAGGCACATGCAACTAATGTGTTTTAATCTTCATGCATGAAATAAAACTCATGAACTCTTTTGTGCATGCTATAATATAGTGCTAGTTATCATGACATCTTGAGGAATATTAAACATAACAAAGCAGGCCTTCAAGCTAATCCTGCATCACAATACACAGATCACTTAGTTCCAAAGGAGGCGCGGTGTCTCGAATCCAACAAAAAAATGCAGCTTGTATCTACAGGGTACCTCGCTGGCTTTTACCAAGGCGCTCAACATGTAAGATCTGCTAGGAAAATAATCAGCCAGTACTCAGGCCATGTAACATATTAAGAGATGCGATGCAAGGCTATCCCCTACAGCGCTCACCTTGTGAACGGCATAGTAGTCCTCCTCTACTTGGTCGGGTGAAACAGGCCAGGCATCAGGCAGGGGCAGCAACTGAAACGTCCTTTCATCTCAGCTCCAGCATCACACGTGTGCAGTGTTAAGACTGGATGCTGTGTTACTGAATGAACCAGAGGACACGAGCGAAACCTAAACAAAGATGACAAACCTGCGCATTTGCCTCCACACTGCAAGGCCTGCTAGTGTGAACCACGATCTTATGCACTTAGCCTTCATGAAGGAACTAGAGCGCCTCGTGAACTATGCGATAAGTTCTGGTAACATATTGCTGAAGCTAAACGCAGGGGTTGTGAGCCACTCTTCACACCTCCGACTCGTTGGCAGGTACCACTAGACCCTCAGCTAACAACGTTCATGCTTCAACTCATGAGCATCCAAGAGAAGGTGATGCCACTATTCTGCTCAGTACAAACAAAGCGTATCTTTGTGTTTTAAGCTAAAAAAGAATAATTAAAAGTGTGTTCCATTTCAATGTTAATATGTATGAAGACAATTGACAGCATACACCAGTAAAAGGTCCCAGAATCGCCAACAAGCGCATCTTGTTGGCGATCCTAGGATGAATCCACATTTAATGAGAGAAACAGGGTTCACTTTAAACTATACCACAATCTTTCATTAAGTGTGGTTATCTAAATTCGTATTCCGAGCAGTTCTCTACACCTTTGAAACCTGGCAGAAGTGCAATGGAGTTATATTGATGTGTGCATATTAATATTTGTGCGAATTGTGACGAAGTCAATTGACATGTACACTTGGTGAAAGTCGAGAAATGTCAAGAGTAGGGCGTTGAAGAGCAGCAAGTAGTAAGTAGCCTAAATCCGGGCAAGCGCGCACCCGAGACCAGTGCTACTACAGGCACTGAGGCTTGCTGGTCTGCTCATGTTCTTTGTTGTCGTCATCTCTTCACTACATGATTAAACTTTGTTCATTTTCTTCAAATATACAAACAAGACCCAGCAACCAACCAGTCTATCTTCACCAATCTAACTGCTATCACTGACTTGCTGAGTAAAATATTGAAGTCCCTGTTAAAGCAACTAGAAATCACAGACGCTATTACTGCAAATGAAAGCATTTTCATTGAGTGCCCACTTTTGCAAAAGGCGGTTGATGTAAAAAGTTTGGAAAAATCTCACACACTGTGGGAATCTGTTGTTAATCAGTCAGCAAGTAGCTGTCTATGCTGCATTTTTCTGACTTAGGTCAGGCGTTAGGAGATGGAACAAGTTTTGTAAATAGAGTAGTTGTGTGTGCATTGTGAACTTACCAGGCACTCCGACTGCACTAAAGATTGAACGTTCACATCACAAATACACTTCTCCATGAAACAGACACAATCACTGATGTTGCGCTACAGCAGTTACTTATCTAGAACCAGTGTGTAATGGTGGTCGAGAATAATGGAGAGGTGATCTAGTTGGTAAATATTCGTTCTGAAAGGAGAGCGCAGAAATACGGATACAACTAAGAAGTCAAGACACCACAATCGCCGACAAACAACTGAAGAGGTGCACAATGGCAGAACAGAATGAAAGCACCAAAACATATCTGCGCATGCTCAAGCAATAGGTAAACCTATCAATCTGGCATGCATAATGGTCTACTTGAGAGAACTGTTCAGACACTTGATTTCTTCCTCATACAGGTTAATCGACGGTTGGCTCATGCATACACTGCCACTCTTATTAATATGCCAGGCCTCAATCATTAAACAAACCTCTTCATCTCTGTGCCTGCACATTGAATTTTCGCGTAGACTTACACTCTCAACAATGTAGAGCTACGTTAGATGATGAGCCTCTGGTTAGCCGTCTTTTATGTTCAATCAATCTCTGGCACAACGACCTGTCTGCCCTGCGTAGAAGCGGCCACAGCTCTTGTACACCACACCTGTACAGCAATCAGTAAACTTGTTGGTATGTTTGACGAAACAAATATCGGTCCACTTCTTGTTTATCACCTGCTCATTTATTCTTCATGTGGTGAGAAATATTTCACCTAGATTATTGGTAGCTGTAAAACAAGATTAATATCGTATTTACCCCCCTCCCCCCACACTTGCTTAATCCTGCAAGAAACGTTTGTTAATCTTCCAAAGGCATAAATCACTAAGTATTGGAGCAACTTTAAAACCAATACAAACTCCTGATTTGCACCCAGAAACACCTTACTTCCAACTTACCAGCATTGACTTTAAATACATGAAAGTGATTTCTAGAAAAGCCTCCGTAGAAACACCACACTTATCAGTGAAAAAATGTTTCCTGCACTTGTTCATTAACACAATCTCTAACACATTTAATAACCCTTCATGCAGCAAAGAGTAATAAATGTAATCAATTTGCATGCTAAGGGCTTTACAACCTTCAGGGTTCCCCTCTTAGAGAAACTGAGCGAATTACGCATGCAAAACTGGTCTGAAAAAAAAAAAAAATATAGTTACACCATCTCTCACAAAAGGGAACCATGTGGGGATGCAAAGCAGTGCTCGTGTTCACTTGCGTTTCCAGTTGTATGTTTTTGTGTATGTTTCATTTGTGTGTGGAGTTGTGTATATGTTGTGTACAGCTTATGTTACCCCCCTCCCACCCACTCATTTGTATTACCGTGTGTGTGTGTGTGTGTGTGCTGCAAAGTGAACACCCTGTGCTGCTAAGAGAGTGCAACAGAGCGAGAGCATGCAGTATTATGCACGAGCGCACAGCTATGGCGGAGAGATAAATGGGAGAAGAAAAATGAAGGAGAGGCAGCACTCTGCCACACTCTCGTGCTCATGCGAGGAGAGGTGGGTGAGTTGGTGCATGCGCAATGGGGGAGCGGATGCTCGCCGAGGGAAGGACACAACCACGAGAAAAAGCTGCTTTGCTTCTAAAACGCAGTTAGGTTAAGCAGTTTTGCCAGTAACTACAAACAGTGATTTGCCAGGTGCCTTTCCCAGAAACAATAGCTCAAAAATGAATCTCGTTCTTGTGTGTTTTTGCTTTCAAAAATCAATTCTAAGGTCAACGAGCTGGTGAGGTGATTGAAATGCTACAGTAGTGGATCCTCAATATTTTCAGACATAATGCACTCATGATTTTGCAGGGCTAAAGATATCATAGTCATGAATGAAAGTTCTATAATTCAGTTTGTCTCACTTTCATGCAATATTACAGCAAGGAACCATAGAAGCATCGAGATGTGGGCTAGTCAGTGTACATTTGTGTTCACAGCGTAAAAAAACAGCAAAAAGAAGGCAAAGCTGCAGGACGAGCACCTGCCCTGTAGCGACCGTTTCTCTGTCCAGTTCTTTTTTGCCCTCTTAAAATGAAAATTAAAGCATGGCTTTTCTCAGTCGCTATAAATGTGCGTGTTTACAACTGCTTTCTATTCATCAGCCAGAGTGGGGAACAGGTGTGTTCTGTCCCTGTGCACACGAGATACTGTAACAAGCTCACTCTCGAGCACTACAATGTAAACTATTACAGTGGCAACCAACTGAACTGCAAAAGGTTTCTTGAATCAATAAATGCACAAGAACCGGGTAGCCAATACGTACCGACTGGGCAGCATCCTGCTCAGAGACCAGCCACTGCAAGTCGGACGCCTTGGGCAGCTGCTTCTCGGAGAAGCGCCTGAGCAGGTTCAGGGCCACAGCCTCGGCAGAGGAGCCCCTGTCATGTTCCACTCAAATGGTCACCAATGCACACTATGCTATGCAAGCAGCGACACCACCTCTTGCATCGCATGTGCAAAAAAAGACAGTGCATCTCAAGCATCGATGCATGTTCGAAAAACTTAACTCTGGGGTCAAAAACCACGATATCACGACGCACAGAAAACTACCCTGTTTAAAGTGCACCTAAATCTGACTACACAGCTGCTCTATACATTTGAAATCCATGAAATTTCAGCTGCTAAAGCAAGGAACCAACGCTTCAAGCTTAGTAGCGTAATGCTGAGCTGCCCAATGGGTAGTGTGCGTTCCAAGGCACACTAGCACCCATAACAATGCTAACAATGGTTTAACAGCCATTACAGAGATTATTTTTCATCAGCCTTCCGCTAAAATGTTGCAGCGTAGCTTGCACACTCACTGCAATAATTTTGTCCTTGCCTACATCGTAGCACTGCTAAGTGGTGCCGCCCTATCCACTCTCACGTTTACAACTATGCCAGCCCAGTGCAAAGAAGTGCACTAACGAGCTACAGTTTTCTACACAGTAGCCCCAATTGATAAGTAGGGAATGAACTGTAATGAAATAAGCAGCCAGTAAATATATTAAGCTTTATGAAGCCAGAGATTCACTGCAACTGCTTAAATTACCAGTACATCTGAAACCTTGTGATACTGCAGGACATCACAAGGTTTGCTACACACCACAAAGCATACAGCGTAGTTTTGTCCTTCAGAACTCATGTTTATAGTGCTTCTGTCCCGTTGTTTCACCTGGTGTGCATGCTGCCATATGACATAATCATCAGCCAACTAGCCCAGAAGTACATTGCAAGCACACAGTTGAGGTTTTACTGTACATAGTTGTGTTCTGGTGAAGCTTACTAAAACAAATACTTGATTAGGAAAGGCAACGTCCCTGCTGCAGTGGGAACCATCAATAACTCTAGTCGCACACGTTGCTTACTTGCCTACATGGCTTTTAATACAGACTCTATGCCCTTTCTAGTGCCAAAACAGTGCCAATTAATCAGCATAAATATATGCGCTTCTTGCGGGCTAGTTAGGGCATTTTTACTGGTGTAGCATTTGAGGTACCCAATTCGTTTATTTGTTCATTTATTTGTACTGAAATCTGGCGTAAAACTTGGCAGGGTGGGTATACATGAAAATGCACCAGAACTGTAGAGACATAAAAATTTGTAGTGATGGAGGCATTCTACAAACATTTGTAAAGCATTCTATTAAACACTGGTAGTGAATACAGAAAAAATATGAACACAAATTCCTAACATTTCCAGACGTTTACCAAACAATGGTAAGGATTTCTGAGTAACAATTTCGGTATTAATATTATTGAAGTCTGTTACTGTCCGAGGAAAAAAACATTTGAAACGGCAATCCCTTATGTTAAAGATAACCAAGATTAGAGCATGCCTTCGTCTTGTTTGATAAGTACGTAAAGAAAAGTTGAGATGTTAATGTTATAATGACTATTTACGAGCTGAAAGAGGATGTGGAGGTCTAAAGGAGTATGATTCACATGTGCTATGCTACATAGCAAAAATTGATCTGATGCATTAGTAAAGACATGGTAGTGCAAAGATTTTCTACATCAAAATTTGTTTTTTGCTTGTTTGCAATGATACGGCCCCCTTAAATGTGTTCGCTATCCCACACGCTTCAATAAATTTCGAATTGAGCCAAAAAGACCAGGTTTGCAAAACCAACTGACAAACAGCCATCATCACCAAGTTACGTTAAGCATTTCTGGATTGAATTTTGAGAGACTATTAACTAACATTTCTCAAGTGATCTGCCTGACGCAAGAGCCAAGGGCAACATTAAACAAAGTTTGTATAACTTCTTCTAGCCCACCTCTTTAGAGCCTATCTAAAGTAGCATACAAAATGTTTTCTCAAAAAGCCAGCCTAAGGGTACTCCAGATAGTACTTAAACATTTGCATCCCTTTTCAGTGTCACTTAAAGCAAGCAGGTATTACAGAAGATGACTAATGGTTTCACAGGTGGCAATACGAACGAGCTCACGTTTGAATGTTGTCTTCCCGAGGCCAACACACTGATGACGTCTTCTGCAAATCTGCATCTGCAAAGCAGCAAGAGCAAAAAGATACTTGTAGAAGTTACTTTTGCCAACTGTGGCATCTGAGTGCCACTGCTTTCTACTGGAAAATTGCAGGCCCTTCAGTTCACGAAAGTGAGTGTTCTAACTTAATTTTTGCCAAAAAGGTGAAACACTGTGCAAATGTTCAGGCTAGTGGTCGTTGGTGCAAAAGCTATCGTAACTGATTCATGGGCTTGCTGCTGCATTAGCTACACATGGTCAAGGAGCCCCCTAGAAGTTACGGTCTGCGGCACATTGGTCACACAAGGTGTGACATGGCTGTATAAAAAACTTGGACTTATATGAATCCTTTATAGTGCTGCGGTTTCGCTTTAAACAAATGAAACCACAACATTTATTTACTGAAATTCTTATACTTCATTCAAATAGTAAAATTTAAGAGTGGATCAAATAGCAGACACAATTAGAAAAATATTTGAAAGCTCTAATATACCAAGCACTCCGTTTAAAAGTCATGAGTGAGCAAGCTAAATGAGATGTTAAAAGTGCCAAACAGAACAGTAGCCCTGAAGCATTTTATAGATACTGCCACTGCATAATGCATAGAAACTGTATTTAAACACCCTGGCATCCAAACCAACTGATCAGTGGATGAGATAACTTGTAAATGCTCTGGAGAGAGAAAACTGCTGTCATGTGTTTAGCCACTATCAAAGGATGTTCAATCAGGATCAGTTTTACATGGTCATTTCCTGCATACTTTCTGCGCATTATGGAAATAATTTGCTAAATGTTTCCCTCTTATTTCTTTTTTTTTTCTTTGACTTTGCAAACTATTAAGTTGTGCAGCTGGATTAATGAGATGCAGTCACTCAGCTTGCTGCAACTGAACTGAGCAAGGAATAATGTACATTAGCAATACATGTTGCATAATGCTGTTTGAACAGGTACGAGCTGAAAATGAGGTTTAAGTGGCATCACAGGGCTCGGTTAATTTCTCAAAAGAACAACAGCTCACCTGAATAGAGCGAGGCCAGGGAGAGGGACATTCCACATTCCCGCACTTGGGACAGGTTGGACTCGTCTGTTGCGACAAGTGGATGAGGCTTAGTACATTTGCTATCTCTTCAATTAGCACTGTGGGCCTGCATTGGCACCCACATCTTGCTGCAATGCACCCTCATTGTTAATTTATTATTCGAGCAGCAGTGTGTTTGCCTGCGCTTCTACTACAGGACAAAGATACCCAACATAAATCAACAAACAGTGCCCTCTGTTGCAATTACAGGCAAATACACAATTATTTTTCCTAACTGCCAATTTCACTAATTGTTTTCAATTTGCACGCAGATGAATGGCTACTTGAACAACAGCATAAGTATTTCGGCATACAGTTTAACTCTTTCATAACAGAGACTGATGTAAGGAGACAAGTGGGTATAAGAGCGATAAGTGCCCCTACATTGAAACAGAGGTTGATTAGAAAATGCGGACATCGTACCCTGCTTATAAGAGACACCTCGTGCAAAAAACAATTGCTGCCCAGTGTGTGCATCTCATAAAAAGGTGCATGAGAGATAACTGTTCAGACACTTTGTTTATTTTGTCAATTAACCTAAAAAAAAGAAATCAAGTGTCTAAGCAGTTGGCTCTGAAATAAACCACCGCACGTTGCCTGTACAGATAAGTTAGCCTCTTGAATGAGCATGTGCAGATAAAGATTTCATGTTACCCTTTCTTTTCTGCTGCTGTGCATTTTTTTAAAGTCTTTAGTCGGCATTAGGGGCACCTGGACTTCTCTTGCATCTGTTTTTGGATGCCTTATCCTCTTAATATAAAAATTTACGAACTAGCTCGGATCTCCCATCACTATGAATGTTCTTGTGAGCTGCAGTTATGCATTTTAAATTCGCTTTATCACGTGGCATCTTCCACGGGCAGCTGAGCATGCCCATAGCATTGCTGCTCCATAAAGGAGCACCTCAAAAACTGGCTTGCCTTGTCAAACACTCTAACACTTTTATTTTCCACTAACAGCATCCTTTGTAGGTATCTCACACACAAGCATGAGAAAATTTCCGTGAAAATTGTCCCTTGTGGATGTGGAGCTCAGATGTATAAGGAAGCCGACACATACTGCCCAAAAGACTCATCATTTCCATTCTCATCAATACCATTCAGCAGTGCCAAAACTACGGGTTTAAGTAACCCGGCCACATGCTTGTGCAGGAACACACACTTATTCCAGGTACAACTATCTTACGACTGGTAAAGTTGAGATATTTGTGCTTGTTTGGTACGTGCTATGCACAATATGTTTATTTGTCTTTGCATTTACACTGTGCTTCTAATCGTTGCATCAGCAAATGATGGTAATGGCGATTATAAATTAGCATAACAGTGCCAGCTTGGATTCCAACTTGTACTTGCTCTTGCTCACCTGCTGTGCAGACAGTACAGTCGATCCATGATATGTATATTGAACTCTAAGGGGGTCCAGAAATAGTTCAGTTTATCGACAATTCAATACACAAAGTGTGTGCATTTGAGGCCTAAATTAAAGCATTTCAAGCCTCGCAAATCATTACAGGTGGTAAAATAACAATTTGTTCACAGTACTATATAATGAAGAACTTTAAGGTGGTAAAATAACAATTTGTTCACAGTATTATATAATGAAGAACAAGATGTGAACTGCATGTTACTACACTTTATTTCGCACCAAAAGAGTCCATAAACTTCTCTTTCTTTTTGCGCGGAGTCAAGCTCCAGTCATTCCCAATATCACTGAAACTTTTCAAATAAGAAAATTTAGCTCTTTCGGCCACAACAGCGCTGATTGATGCAGAACGCCGATGTAAGCTTTGTCACGTGGCAAACGGTTGGTTAGTGGCAGCAGCAAAAGCGCTGGCATATTCATAACCGCATGGGTACACTTCTCCGGCACGGGCAACCATGACGTCAGCATCGATGCAATCGTTCGTTGTCAAGGATGGTGCCCGGAAACGCTGATACGTTGCAGAATTCGTCGAAACCGATGTCAGCGGCCAAGACGCACCCGAAGCCATTACCTGGCTCGTAAGGAAAGTTTAAGACGGTGCTTTACTTGGTGTCCCTCCAAGTGCCAATCACAATTCTTATCCCTATGTGCTATTCAATGTTCTGTTCGATTCCCGAATGAGAATTTATTAGTAATGAGGCGATCCTCTTTGAGTTCAATATATCCAGGATCGACTGTATTAAGAAGCACTACTTTGAAGGACGAGAACGTCGGTAACGATGTAGTTTGTTGCCTGGTTGGTATCGACTTGCCAGTGACCTACAGAAGCTACAACGATTTACCCACATCTACTACGAGGCTGACGAGGCAAAGCCAGAAGTTTCACTGCAACTAGGCACAGATGCAAGAGTAGCCTAACAGCTCTCCATTGCTACAGTTCATGCGTTCTTTGCTCCACAATAAAGGTCTATATTTATGGTACCGTAGCAGGATAAAATCACTGGCTCAGTGCTTACCTGACAACTCGTACTCATCAATGTCATCATCATTGTCGCTGAGGTCCACTGGCGGCAAAAAAGAAATACATCAGGACTTGTGAGAAGCCTGCAGCACGAGGCTCCCTCCCTAACAACCAGGCCAAGTAATTAAGTTCATATTTGGCATAACTGGCACAACACTAGTAAAAAAATATGCTTAGTGTCAGTGCTCATCTTAGTTGCTTCTCTGTCTTTTCGTCTTTTTCTGCACTGAACCCAAGTTCAATAGAATATAAAATACCAACTAGCCCATCATGATACTCCACTTACAATAGGGGTTGCACCTAACATTTTTGAGCTTTTATAGTAGTACTATAAACAACTTCTAAAAGGCTATTCCCCTATTTCGACAGTTTTCAAAGATACGACTTTTTGCACTTCGTGTGAGAAAATTTTCAAGCTAAACTTCAAAAATAACCCACAAGTGGCATCCAGAATTACGCTTTCCTATAAAATCTAAAATGCATTGTGAATAAAATTTAGTATCAGGAATAAGCCAATATACCAAAGTGGAAACAATGGCTTCTGAATATTCAATGTTCTGAATAAAGCTGGGGGAAAACGTATTTGAAAATCGTACAATGTATTTTGTTTTTATCATGTGGCTCTTGAAACCAACTTGAGCACATTCTACAAAAAGGACTTCATTGTGCCCCCCCCCCCCCCCCTCTCCTCCCCACTGTGCACTAATTTGAGTATTTTCCAAGTTCTAGATGCTCTCGTTTGTACAGCACTTTCTCATCAAGGCTGATTGAAACACCAGAGGGTACAAAGGATGCTGCATAAAGTTCTGCCTGTTGCCATAAAAGGTAAATATTATTCACAAGTCACTGCTTGCCCAGCTCTGGCTGCACTTGAGAACAGCACTCTACCACTATTCAAGCCCCTCTTTGTATTTACATAGGATGGAACAGGTAGTGCATAAAAAAGACAGCACATAGAGTAGGCATCACAGCTTTTTTTTTTTTTTCAGCGATAAATGAGATCTCAGACATGCATAAAGTTGTGCAGAGGAGATATGGGGGCTCGTGCGTATGAAATGAAACATGCAAAAAATGTTTGTTAAACGCTCCCATAAAGCAGTCTATGAAATCCCGCTCTCGTGCAGTCATTGCTACAATGGCCAAACTGGCCAGCGTGTACATTGTCACCTCAGAGGACACTGCCTCTGAAGGGTTCTGTTCACAGCTACCCTGCCGTGCACAGCTCTATGTATGGTTGTCCCACTGCATCTGATCAACCCACGAAAAGTGTGTATGTGTCAAGCAGCTCCCAGCATAGTACGAGTAGAATGTCATAGTATTGTATAGTACAGTCGAGCCCACATATAAGGGCCCCACATAAAACGAACTTTCGCTTAGAACGAACAATATCCGCGTGACCGTAAAAACATACATTGGTTCAATGGCACAAACGTGCACTTACAACGAACTTCTTCCGAGCGCTGCTGATCGGTTACAGCGAACGGAGTTAGTGATCTGTCGACTTCCCGGGAAACCCGTTTCGCCCACCGATCGGGCATCGGCGAGGTGCCCATACATTCTTATTGTTAAATGCCAACCCTGCCTCTGCGCCCCTCTAGTTGCCGCTCTCCCTGACTGCTTCTGTTATGCACCCCTCCGCCCTTTGTCCCCGCTACTCTTGAGCACCCCGCATCGCCAGACGAGGCCCGTGTTTTCACACTGCCACCGATCTTTCGAAGACTGGTCGGCGATCTACCTTGTTTTTGATCGCTGGTACTGTCGTTGATGTTGCCAGCCTGGAGTGACCAGACTATTTTCCAACATCGTCAGCCACCGACTGTATCCGATAGTCTGCGTCTAGTACCGACTCTGATAACTTGCGATTCGTTTCGTGTTTAGGACTTGTTCTCGTTCACTTCGCACTCGGCTCAGCATGCCTTCTGCGCACGTGTGAAAGCACGAAAACGGCTGTTAATTTGCGTGAAACGAAACGCGAAATATTGAAGTTCGTGAGGCCATGCAAACCCGTCGGCGCAACAAAATGATTATTTGACCCCGGCCGCCAATTCTTTAAATGCCACTGCGCACACCGATTCAGGCGGCCATGCACTCTTTCCAAGTTTTTCTACGTGCGAGTTTCGCTGACCTTTCAAGCAAGCTACCCAACCTGCCTCCTTCCCGTGTGTTTTGGTTTTCAAGGTCGCCCTCCCGCCGCGTCCTCCCCTCTCTTTATCACAACTCCTTGACCTTCTCTCGCAAGTCTGCTCTCCTCTCTTGATCACATCCCCTTCGCCCGTCTCCACCGCTCCGCGACGCCACGCTGGCTCGAATTAGTTTTGTTTTCTGACTGGAAACGGGCCCAGAGCTGTTCCACGCGTTTTGGCATGTGTGTCGCGTGTGCGCGCCTTGCTCGCTCTTGGCGTGCGTGTGTGGTGATGATGGCCGACGGGAGGACTAGCACGCTTTTTCCTGCCGCTCAACAAAACGTCGAAAGTGTGACCGCTTGGCTTGAGCGTAATCCGCGCGTTAGGTGCCGCGTTGCGAAGCGCTTGCTCATAGCTGTTGACCACCTGGCAGCCAACTTGCCGCTTCAGGCGTCCCGGTATTTAGCTGTGGAGATGGTGTATATTTCGTGGGCGGTAGTGACGGCTACATGCGAGCAAAACTGTTTTTGCGAGGCCGACTTCGTCGCCGTCTGGCCCGATGCCGAGTCTGAAGCTTCTGAACAGGACCACTGCGGCGGCGAATTGTGGCAGCGCGTTGTCGACTCCAACCTGGGAGAGCGGGTGGGACATCTGTTGCGATGGTTTAATTACGGCGGATGATGATGCCGACACTGCGGAACTGTGCACGGATTAGGGCATTGTGAATGAAGTACGTGGCGAGAGCGATTTGGAGGACTCGAATTGTGAGAACGACGAAACTTTGGAGTCAGTGCCTCATGCAGCTTTTGCCACGAGCCTCGAGACTGCCCTTATCGCTTCTGCTCTTCGAAACACGTGCATCGCGGACGTTTTGGGGCAAAAAAGTTTGTTTTTTCACTCACAACTTTTTTAAAAGCTGAGTTTTATTTACTACGAACTTCGGGATACAGCGAACGGATGACGCGTCACGCTCAGGTTCGTTATAAGCGGGCTCGACTGTATGACAAAGGGGTGTTTAAGAGAAGTGAGGTTGGTATAATATGAGATTAAGAAAACGAGAGAAAGAAGACATAGAAGAAGAAAAAAGGAACAAAAAACATGAAAGAATGATTCAGAAAAATGAAAATGAACTCTTGCTGCATTCGCCAGGTAGTGGCACCTGCTTGACAGCTCTGCGGAATGGAAGGTAAAGCTTTAGGACTTGGATTTAATGTAAAAATAGTAAGTTGATTGATGGTATTCAAAGATCTCAATGATCAGGCAGTGTCCATACAGGGCTAAGATATACCGTGCGTAAGCGAATTTAAGTACCTCAGAGTATGCGTAAATGAGGGCGACCGGTACAAGGAGATAGAGGCAAAATCCTCAGCAAAAGGGAAAGAGGAATGCTGGAATAATGAAGAACAGAGCATCGTGAGAATACAATAGGGAAAAGGTCGTTCAAAGTCTGTGAAAAAGTGTGATGGTTCTGGGGCTTACATTTACGAACTCAGTGGTGTGCATGAAGTGAAAGCAGAGATGCAATCGGAAATAAATGTGAATCAAAGAACTGTGATGTGCCCTGCATTGGGTGCTCATGGGAAGATGACCAATGAGGCTGGGAAGGGCGACATCAGGTGGACAAGTTTTGGGGTGAGAAAAGCTCTGGGCGAAATGTTCAAAGAGAGGCTAAGGACTGTGAAAAAGAGCAGATGGGCAGAGAAGGTGTTGCACTATTTGTACAGCAAGAGCCTTGACACACAGATAAAGAGAACTGGAAGGCTCGCCAGCAAATATACAGCTGTGAGCAACAATATATTGCCCACAGTCATATAAGTACTAGTGGGCCGCCCAGTTGGTAATGTAGGGCAGGGTTACCTCTCCTAGTTGAAAAATTAACATGCACAATTACACAATAATTGTGTCTAGACATGTAATATACAGCGGAACCCACTCATAAATCTCAGATATAATGATGTATCGGTTACAACAACCATATTTCGGTGCACTTACGATTTTCCTATGCTACCTATTGCAACTGTGTCCACAATATAGCGAACATTTTTCATAGCCTTCTGCTTTTGCAACGAACACTTCCAACATGGTCAGGATAAAAATATGGCACATGCTAAGCAAAAAAAAAGAAAGGTTAAAACAGGCATTCTAAAGCATGTATTAGGCGTGCACCCTTGCGTGCTCGCTCCACTGCAGTTTACTCATGATGAAGATATCTAAACTGCAGCAAGCACAGCACGTGAATTTCGTACGCTAAGTCGCTCGCTTTAAAGCCATTTTTTCACCAGCAGAACACAAACAAGGAAAAAAAAAAAGCGAAAGGAATAGGAGGCAGCATGAAAACCTGCGGTCGGCTTTCGCCCAGAGAACATTTTCTGACGTCACTCTCAACATCTATGAGTGCGCTGACAATTTAACCAAAAAATGGCTTCGCATGCAAGAAGCTATAAATACTAGAAACAATAACTTTTACTCCCATAAATGTTCACTCTGGCGCTCCACTCACTGACACCAAATGTGTCGCAAAAGGTTTGCCACCTTTTGGTAACAGCAGAGACCGGTTGGTCAATGATACTGACTTCCGCATGATTGCGGCAGTGTTTTAACAGACAAGTATCAGAAAAGAATGAAGGCGAGGTGGCAGGTGGGGATGACTTGCCATTTTGACTCATTTCCGATAACCTTATAACATTCATCTGCAAATAATTAGGCTGTGCGGTACAAGCACGTCATGTTGCTGTTTGCAAGTTCGACGCCGCGGCATCGTGCTAGACCGCTTGCGTGTTGCTTGCAAAATGCTTGTCTCCGCCGTGTTGAACGAACGGGTAGCTCGCCGCACCTGAGCATGATAAAGACTGAAGTATGCACGAAAAACGCATGAACATGTGCATACATTAGACCAGTGGTTCTCATATTTCGGTCCGCGGACCCCTTAGGTCCGCGAAGCCATTTCTAAGATCCGCAAAACCCCCACCCGCTTTTTTTACATTTTAAATATTTTACCTATCCAACTCTGTTTAATTGAGGCTATGCCATGTATTCATGAACTGTCCGAAATGATGGGGGCACGTTTGTTTGATGCTTTTGATAGCAACAAAAGCCACCTGTTTCATCCTCCAGTTCTGTTAATTTACCTACGTATCCCCCCTCCCTCTGCTCCAAGGGGTCCCCCATCACTTCCACCAGTTCACAAGGGGTCCCCGACACATCTATGGCTGAGAACCACTGCATTAGACTGCAAACGACTTGGCATGCCACAGCGAGAGCAGAGTAAGTGATGTACGTGCTGCATGACTACCCAGGAATGATCGGTTTCACAAGGTAGATTCGCGCTTCAGTGGGGTGGGACGAGTTCATTGCGAACGTGGTCTAATTCATTCGTGAGCAAGTGGGTGTCGCTTAACACGCGAAAAGACCTAACTTGTAAATGGAGCGGTTGTTAGCACCTCTTAATGAAATAACTTAAAAAAAGAGAACTGTATGGCCACTACATAGAGATTTTTATAGGCGAGCCCGTATACAATGAACTAAAGACATAACGACTAGTTATCGTGACCTTTTCAAGTTATTGTGGCATCTCCCCCTTACACTCTCTCAGTTACCATGTGATGGCGTCAGAAAATAAGATTTTGCAGTTGCACAATGAACCCACACATATCTTAGTCGGAACGCGCTGGCATGCGCTAGCATGTTCGGGCCTGCGTAAGTGGCTGTGTTAAGAGGCTGTAGCTTCTTATACTTACAATCTCTCAGCAATCACGTGATGGCATCGGAGAATGAGATTCTGCAGAAGCGTGATGAACACATGTGCTCTAACAAGAGTTTGGGACGAGTAAAAGCAACAGAAACTACAGTGAATTCATGGTGCGCTCCACTTGCAAAGAGTATTAACATTGGGTAAAGTGCTTGTGATAAACGGAATTTCAAGTCAACCCATGCGCTGCTTCGCATGCTAATCGTGGTCCCTCTTGGCAGGAGATGGCGTAATTTTTACTTGTGCTGTTTGTTTATATTTGCCGTGAATCATCACTTGTCCACGTTATCTATACTAACCATGACCTGTGAATGCAAGTCCTACCTTGAAAGCAGGGTGATGAGTAAGCCGAGCTCGGGGGTGACGTGCTTGTGGTGGCCCCGGTGTGAGAATGGCACCACCCACTACTGGGCTGGCCACCTTTATTCAGCTGCTGTTGCTGCTGCAGGGCTTTCTACAAGTGACAACAGAACATGTTTTCACTCAGCCCCTGCCGGCATATGGGCTTTGCTCGGTTTTGACGAAAACCATTCACTTTTATTGTCAATGTTAAAATGTGCTGTACAACTACAGATCCTAATATTCAACACTACATTTGCACAGTACTGAAACAGCAACTTTTGAAAAGTACAGCCACAATAAGTACAGTAATAAATCAAGACTGAGTGGTTTTACTATTTCAAACAGTCTATAGCAGTGACTATTGCAAACTCTCACTTGAGTAGACTTTGACAACTAAAAAAAAAAAACATTCATTGTTCACTGTACTGACTATGCATTAGAATATGAAATAGCATACGAAACAGCGTGGTGTCAAAGGTGCGAATTGCAATTCTTGAAACAATGCTCGCACGTCAACATATGCCAAGGGCGTAGCAGTTTGCGTCACTGCTTGTCTGACCTTCAAAAAGGTGATTCATTTTTGTTCGCATTGGTGTTTCTAAAGTGTGACAAGTAACCAGGCTGCCTGTACAGTATTGTTTTATGCACCTCCTCAAGCACAATTTTTCGCTGAGACACAAAACCTTGCAGGTTGTTAAATTAAGGTTTATTAGCTGTATTTTATTTATTTATTAATTTTGAATTACCCTCAGGGCCAGAGGCATTATAGAGGCATGTTTAATGGCTCTGGTGCGTGGCTAGCGTTAAAACTGAATAATCAAGGAAACAAGAAATGATCTTTCGCTATGCTTCACAATTGCTTTACTCTAACATTAATAGCAATCCTGCGTAATGTAATAAGTCATGTCTGTGTTCTGAGAATTGGCACTTTTTCTTGAGACAAGGCTGAAACGGGCTACATCATATCTGAATGGCACCCACACACTGACCAGGAAATGACTAATTAAGTGGAGGTGCTTCAACTCTTGTGTCACTCAAATATGAAGATACCTTGATGCCATGAGAGCTTTCTCTGACGTAGCCTTACCTCACGAAGGCGCTCCTTCCTGCGAATGCGTATCCGCTGTCGCAACCGAGCAATCTCCTCATCACTGTCATCATCATCGTCCTCAGCCCCATTCAACGCTCGACTGCACCGCATCTGCTCAAACGCCGCGATGAGAGCTTCCGACACGTAGATGTGCGCATTTTCCTGCAAATACATTAGGCTCTGTAAATGGTTCATGCGGTAAAAGGTGCGAGGTAATTTTAACATGCTGAAGTACTAACACAAGAGGATATATTATCAGTGATGTAATATACATAAACGTATTTGACACAGCTTCTTGAGTAGCTAAAACCTGACTTTACAGCAACCAATCAGTCTTTCCAGAAAATCAATTCCAAAGTTTCATCATTAAATCTTGCACCTAAATCTCTCCACATAACATGATAGATTCAAAGTGAGTTTTCATATTCTGCCTACATTCACTGAACCAAATTTCCTGAAACTTCGTATGTTCAGCAAAGACCACCTTCGAGAACAATGTACTTCGGTTTTGTCGATTAAGAACTTTATAGGCCCTAGCAGATGCCAGCCAAATCTATCTCGTCACGGCGAATGATGCGGAAATTCAAAGTAGCATCGCCACCCGCAATTTCTTTTTCCATCTTTTTTTTCCCCTATTCCCATGTTTTGCGTAGTGAGATTGGTGACACATATCGGTATCGTTAAGGATGGATTTACGAATACAATAAAAAATAGTTTTTCTCTTTAGTGTTATTCCATGTAGCCTGCTTCACATTCCTCAAAACAAAGCCCTGCCAATGCCAATGAATGTGGCCAAACTTCCCAAGTGACCACGCAGATGAACTCTCACAGAGAACACGCACTGCTTGCAGTCAGAGCAGAGGGAATTGTTAGCTTGGCGTACAGGTGGCGCCCCTACTGAAATGCCCACTGATCTTTCTTAGATAAACCACACTGAATGTTAAATGTATATGCTTCAAACATCTCTTCTTCCGCAAACGTGGCCACACTCTAAATTTGGTTTCTATATTAATGACTCAATGAGTTGTCAAGCAGAAGCTTTGACGACTTTACGAAATCATTTAAAAGTTTTGCAGTGACATCAGTTAAGTTGACAGCTGTGGGGGCACCAGGATTTCAATACATACAGAACAGTTCCTGTGGAACAAGTGAAGACGAGGCAAGCACGTATGCAGTCATCGTGCACTTACCCTGTCCAGTTCTCCGCAAGTGTTGAAGTCAGCTGATGACAGAAAACTCGTCAGACTTTGGCCTCTGTGGGGTGTGGGGAAGAAGCATTCTGTGGCAGGTGCCAGTCGACGGCCTGCAAAGTGACAATAACATGCTGCTTTGCACCACTACTCTCTCCTACGAGAATCGATCAGTTCTCCTAACCTCTCCCACAGTTAGCTTCCAAAACTTTGTTGAGGTTGTGGTATACACAGTCAACTAAAATGGTCACTTGGCATTGAGACAAATACTCGAAAGCTGTGACAAACACTGCACAACAGAAGACCACTGCCATTGAAGAAACTTTTGAGGAATTGGTTGATTGAAATAGCACAAATAGGGGAAGTACATGCTTTAACACTTCAGAGAATAAACTAATTATTAAACAATTTATAGCAATTAACCTGTATATTATTGGTATTTCACATTACCAATGTATACCAGTTATATGAATTAGGCTTAAATAATATTTGGGTCACAGTTTTTTGCAATAATGCCCATTACCTTGGCCACACTCATTAACATGTTTCCTTTTTCATATTCATTTTACCACAAATGAGTTCTCTAAGAAGGTTAGGGTGAATTAAAGGTCATGACAGGATGTTGTACACGGAAGACCATAACAGGTTTATCTGAATGAAAGCTGTGTCATGCAGGTCCAAGGTATCCATTCCAGACAAAGCAAAATTTTTGGGAAAAAGCAGTGGAATCTCTGTGGATATTGTGTAATCTTTGGTATGGTGAATCAATGGAATGTTTGTAGACACTCCAAGCTATATGACAAAAGTGCTATAGGTGTAGTATTCATGCTTCAGCTATCCTGCGGATTGGCATATATCTGTCAGATTGGACACCGCATGAATGAGCGGGCCAGAGAACAAGAGCTATCTTTACGAGCCAAAGAGGGAGCACATTCGCCTGTGCAATGCCAAGCACACCAGTGTGGGCCATGGCTGAATTAGATTAGCATTCTGATTGATATGAGGGGTTTAAGTCCCAAAACCACCTTATGCTTATGAGGGACGTTGTAGTGGAGGACTTCGGAAATTGACCACCTGGGGTTCTTCAACGTGCACCCAAATCTGAGCACACAGGCCTACAGCATTTTCGCCTTCATCGAAAATGCAGAGATTAAGGTTCTCGGCAGCAGCGAAGATACAGCAGCGGGAGAATTACTGGGGGCTTTTCATAGCAGAAAACTGGGAGGAACTTGTATCAGCGATACATATATCGATTTCTCTCGTCCTAATGAAAAGTCATTTTTTGAAAAGTGTATTGACGGTGATGTATTGCGCGAAGGTGCGTTGCTTGGCACTTTGAGCAGAAAAAAAAGTTTCAAACGTAAGCCTCGATATAACAAACCCGGATATAACGAAATATAACTTATAACAAAGTAACTTAAGAATAGTTCGGCAACTGATATAGTGCTGGGAATATACCTTCATAATAAATTTATGGATATAATGAACATATTTTGCTGTAAGATGAAACTTTGTTATAAAGAAGTTTGAGTGTATATAGCCTGCATACCATGTTGTAATAAATAAGTCGAAAGTTTAGGTTCACATTACTTCTTTTCCCTCCTTTTTTTGCCATTGTTTTGTATCAAGTGACCATAGCTTTATGGTCAATACAAAGTATGATTCATTGAACTAACTAGCTGAACAGCAAGTACTTTTGTGTTCCTGAACAATGCCTCTTCGTTGATTCACAAGAATTTATCATACATTCATACAAATGCAGGATACCTTGGAACATAAAGTGTGCAAATGTCTGCACTTTTACCAAAGCCCCTCTGAAAGGAATGTATCCCAATGCCGCCACTGCTTTCCTTTGCTATACTGGCACTGTCTACAATTACTATACTTTTGTACTTTGCTACATGGGTACCCGTTCCCTGTGACATGAATGCATGCTTAGATGCGCATGTTTTCCTCGACTGCGCTACCTGTTCGAGACCTTGACCTTGGGGTGGTTCTTCTTCAACCTGAATATACACAGACCAAGAAGCCCATTGCCTTTTCCAGTAGCTGCCTAAGCAAACCAGATGGTTGTTACCCCACTTCAAAACTCAGTGCCTTGCCTTGCGGTGGCCTGGGCCATTGACATGTTGCATCCTTACATGCAGGCAAAGATTTTATTGTGGTTACTGACGCATTGGCGCTGCACTAGTTCCAAACAAAAAAACTTAAATGCCGAATTTGCCCGATGGGCCCTAAATATTCAAGATTACTGCTTAACGGTGGTTCACCACATCGGTTAGTGTCATTGAGGTGCAGACTGCCTTTTGTGCAACCCTGTTGTGATAAGCTGCCCTGCGCTGCCATCTGCAGTGCTCGACCTTGAAACTGCACAATGAAATGATACTGATATCTGTGACAGTGTGCAGCGCTTCTCCGGTGATACCAAAACAATTAGGTGCAGCCTAGAGCAGCTCTCATATTGTCCCTTATCACCGACACACGGGAAGTGAATTTCGCGTAACAGTGACCCCACCATACTTTCATGAGTCATGATGCCCCCTCTTCTGTCCAACTAGCCAGCAGAACACCTAGGCTCCCATTCAAGAAAGTTTGACGATCTGGCATTCCTGATAATGTCTACTATTAAAATGAGTGTACAAGCTATTAAGGAGTGTACAAAACACAGGAGCGCGAGCCGAAATCACCATCTAGTGGAGAACCATCTGCTGTTGAGAGAATTGCACTGACAGAATTCGTCAAAGGAATACTTTTGACAGCAGACAGCTCACCACTAGACGGTACAGTTGGCAAAACTATAAGGTCAGCAATGGTTCATATACTTTTGCTCACAAGTGTATGCATCTGCACTATTTGTCAAGCTCGCAAAGAAGTAATCCTCCCACATCTTGTGCCCTTGCAACCAATCATGCCTCCCAACGAATTACTCGATGCAGTGGGCATTGATCACACGGGCCCATTTTTTGGCAGCAAGTATGGCAACAAATTTCTTATCAACAGAGTGGACAAAAAAGTAAGCGGGTAGAAGTACACACCATTCCTGAAGCAGCGTCAGATTTGTGACCTTTATTAACAAGTCCCTCTCATACAAGCATGCCACGCCGAAGTTGTCGATTACCGACTATGGCACGGCATTCATGTTCCGTGCCTTTAAAACATTCCTTTCGAGGTATGAAATACACCCCATGCCACAGCTTCCTCTCAACTTCCACAGACAAACTGACTTGTAGAGTGCACCAACTACACCATAAAACACGTATTTTTATTCTACGTCTCTACCACACACAACTGGGATGACATTGCTGCTGCGGTTTTCACTAAGCACTTGAGCGAGTTGGTAAGTTTACATGAGAAGGTTGGGAAGGCCGAGCGAGAAACCAGAACCACCAAAAGCAAGTTGCCCTATTCACTTCCTTATTGCAGCACTTATTCACAAAACTTTTGCGACAACTGTTCACATCGTACAAATGTGTAGTTATTTCTCCATCAGAAATTTTGAACTGCAAAGTTGTTTACTGGCTCTTCGATCCTTTTGCATGACAACGGAATATGTCTATTTTCAATAAACCCCGTTGAAAGTTCAGCAACGTGCGTGTCATGTTTTTCTCATCCTGTGTATAGAGTGCTGTTTTATATTTATATCATGGAAGGGCAGCCTTGACTGCTCCCACTGTGGGGGCGGTTGCTGCAGTACGCTATGTGTAGCTTCAGCAGCCACCTAATGTCATGGTGCTGTCCACTTTGGCAAATGATCCTGAAAAGTGTGGTGAAGTGCACTGTCTAGCTTTTCAGAAACTGATTTTTTAATCATGATGCACGGGTTCCAGAAATGTTGGGTGGCCACCGTCACAGTTCGCTTGATAAGCATCAACTTCAGCAGACGAAGTGTCCCGTCGTGTTGCATTTTGCACAGGTGAACTGCCCTCGGCAACTCTGCGAGGCATGGATGGCACTTGAAAGAGCGCTGTGTATTTGGAATGTAAGGTCCGACTTGCCATAAGAGATAACCTCTTTCTATTTCCTGTGGAAGTGTACAGAGTGTTATATGTTTGGTTAATATTTCCCAAGCTTTTACGTTTGATTTCTGAGAACAGTGTACCTGTATGATATTGTCACCTTTCCGTCGAGCCAGGAGCTGACCATCAGTTAAATTCATGATCTGACACAGCGCCCTCGACATTGTCCGATTTCTGGTGCGCCGTGACAGCGATAGGTTTATCCCCAAAAGCCACAAGTTTCGCTAGTCTGCCACTAGAAGGTAACTACCACTAGAAGGTACCAGTGGCCATCTCGGTGGCCTTGTAGCCACTACCGATAATCTCAGGCTCAAGGAATGGCGAAAATTTTCGGGCTTTTTTTTTAAACAGTTAAGAATTGCAGAACATTAACCGACATCTGGCCGGCCTAAGTGCCGGCAACTGTTCAGCTTTGCACTGTTCCCTGCTTGAGCTATTCCTGCTTGGGCAAATATATGTTTTGAATATGCTCTTTGAAACCACTGCCATCCATTCATAAAACGTACTTCGCCTCTCTGAATGAAGACAGAACAGTGTAAGGTGCTTCGAAGAAATTACAATGCAAATTTGTCAACAAAAAATCGAGAAAAAAAGCCTTATGGCTGGCATGCATTACACTACACGAAAAACGGGCCTTCTCAAACGACAGTAGATATGTGCTGACGAGACTTTTGTGAAACTTTAGTTTGGAAGATAATGTCACTCGATGATATGCCACCCGAGAGAAGATAAAGCAAGAACACACGCCCTACCTTCGTCCAAAAAGCTCCTGCGTACACCGGCGGTCAGCTGGTCCGAAGTGGCGGAGGTGCGCAGCTGGCCCACCGATCGCGAACGAACGTGATGAGCTCGCGAAGCAGTCATGCCTCTCGTCAATTCGCCCGAAAATCTGTCCACCTCCATTCGCTCCAGCCGAGTTGCATGTGGAACAACAAGAGTGCACCTGCGGGAAACTGCACGCCCCCCGTCACCACAAGAGCTAAGGTAGAGACCGGAAACCGTAACCTCTCACAGCAGAACAAAACGGCGGCGTACTGAATTGCAACAGCGCGAGGAGATACGGCGCTACAGTTACTATCATACCATTAAACGAAATATTTTTATGATTTTCGTCTGTCTGGAATGCAGGAAGGAATAGTTCGTTCATAAAGCGTTCACAAACCAACAAAAACTAATGTGTGTGTGCGTGCGTTTGCCTAATGATGATGATAGCCAGTGCACCGCCGCTCTACCATTTTTGTGCTTCAGCCGAAGGTTGTTTCTGGTTTCCGTTCTCTAAAGTGGTAGGTAATGTCTGGCACTACAGTCCTACAGGTGTTCTCTGGTCCTACAGACTACAGTTGAAAAGGTACAGAGGGTGCTGTGCATTCTTTCTGATGCTGCCACAGGCATTTACAATCAACTAAAGCGGAAAGTACAGTTCCCGCTATCGGAAGTGATCTCTGAGCCTTGGAATGGAACCGCCGGCGAAGCGTGAGCTGCTCGGAAAGGTGGCAATCGCAGTTACTGGATGCAGCGCCGTGGGCATCCTCGCAGTCGCTGCGCCTTTTTTGTCGCCTGCGTTGCGCAAAATCTGCCTGCCGTACGTGCCGGCGACCGACACTCAGGTGCGCAACGTGGTGTCTCTGCTGCAGCGACGGCCCCGATGCTCGGCCGTGGTCGACCTGGGAAGCGGCGACGGCCGCATCGTCCTCGCCGCCGCCAGACTGGGCTTCGCACGCTGCGTTGGCGTGGAGCTCAACCCGTGGCTCGTCGCCTACTCGAGAATGCGAGCGCTGCGAACGACGGGCGCGCGCTTTGTGCGAGCCGACCTGTGGCACTTGGACCTTACGCCGTTCGACAACGTGGTCGTCTTCGGCGTCCAGCAGATGATGGCCCCGCTAGAACGAAAGCTTGTGCATCAACTCAAGCCCGGTAGTTGGGTGCTGGCATGCAGGTTTCCTTTGCCCACGCTCCCGCCAGATGAAACTTACGGCACTGGTGTCGACACGGTCTGGCTTTACAGCGTGAAGAGTGCAGCAGCACATCTCGTCGACAGATCGTAGTATTTGGCCGTCGCTTGTTTGTGGCTCTGGCACATATCCACTTGGGGAATTGGCCAAGAAAACTTGTAGCCTATGGATATTACTGAACTTGTTCTTTTCTTGTGGTTCACACCCACTGTGGGGGATTGACCAAGGATTGAGTGGTCTCATAAAATCTTATGGAATCTTATAGAGTAAACACATCACAAACTTTATATGAAGTTTTATGTGACAAACAAGAGATGACGGAGGCAAAGTGCCCTACTCCACGTTGTCCTTTTCTTTTTGCATTTACCTGCATTTCTACTTTAACATCACTATTGCAGTTGTGAAAGATAGGCTGAAAGACAAAGTAAATATTTGTGTTGCCACTCAGCTAAACCTTTACAATGAGTTAATCATGGGCAACACTATCCAAGACTTCAATATAATCTTGGAATATTAAATCGGCTTATAGTTAACCGCAATAATGTCAACTATAGTGCACAAATGTATCATAGTGAAGCACTTTTCAAAATCCTTGTGAAATTGAGAGTTCTAAGAATTTATTCAAGCCAGGTTCCCTGAACATGTTCTGCACACCCATGCCAGGGGATTGATTCAATTAATGAGCTACTGTTTTCTTTTTTTTTTCATAAATTTACAGCACAATGATCTTGAGAAGACTGTGTGGCAACATAAGGAATGGTCATTAAGGCTGATGTCCAGTTATATAAAAATTCTGCTAATAAGAAAAAGCGAAAATCAGGTATTTTTTGCATAATAGCCTTGAAAAAATGACCAAGAAATGGATTGGGGACATTTTCAGGGCCACAAAAAGTCAGTTTCGAACAACTTGTCCAAAAGACCAGAGGTGCTATTCCATGATCGTGATTGGTCCAAGGGGTTGCTACGACTTCTCCGATTGGCTTAAAATGCAGTCAATACAGACTCTGATAGCGTCTAGTAATAAAGTTTGTGATTCACTTTTGCAACGAGCACAGTAACCGAAGGGGCACTTATGAAAGTAGTCAGTTCAGCAATGGCCGTTTACATAGTTCAGCAAAACTATTTCTGGGCCTTTTTAATGGGTTAACGTTCTCAAGAAATGCACCTCATGTAAAAGCTTTTTATCAAAGCATCAGATAAGTCTGTGGCGAGCATTTCTCTAGAGTCTTTGCCTTGTGATCTAAATGAACTAAGCTTCTTTTCATCTATTGTGGTAAAACTTTATTGCCCAAAGAAAAGTCCTGAAAGAGACACTCAAGAGAAATGAATCAATTTAGATTAATAAATTGTGTGCTAAGAACTCCAATGTTGTTAATTCCACCATCATAGGTTTATTTATGGAGGATAAAATCAACTTCAAGGTTTCAATTCGAAATTTCTGTGCCAAAATCATCACAAATTTCAAAGTATATTTGTCGTAATTTGGCATAATTGGCTCAACAGAATTTTCTCAATCTCGGTATGTTGAGCCCATGGCTCCCTTGGAGGACACCACACTTCATTTTTACTTATTAGGAGCTACGTAGCATAGAGTTAACTTAGTGGGAAAGTCAAAATATGCGACGTAACTGAAAATGGTGAGGAAGCTTCAATGTGGCATCACCATCCACGTTATCCTTTGGCGTGTTATTTTTTTTGCTTACTAAGCATCTCGCTGCAAGAGCAGCAATGGAAGTGCTGCTCGAAACTGCCCCAAAAGCGAAATGCTGCTCCATGCTACTCCAAAGTGCAAATATTTCCTAGTAATGCTCCAAACCTGCTCTGAAAGGATGTTGGCAAACTAAAAAGAATGAAGTTGAACCATGGGAAGATCCCATGAGCCTAAGCGAAACCAAAAGCAAGCTACTCAGTGCTACTCAGTGGCGTAAATCCAGAAAAATCTCAAGGGGTGACACATATCAGACCATGGTGTCCGATTAATATTTTTAATATGGGTTGTATTTTTATTTGTATGAGAATTAAATCATGCTGTTAAATAAAATAAAAAAAAAGAGCATAGGGTTTCAGCTCAAGCAATTTCATTGTTTTATATAATCTTTTTTTTTCACCTTGTTTTTATTTCTATAGTTCACACAGCTGAGGGACGTTTAACAGAGAAAAGATAAAAAGCCTTTTAAACAGTTGATTACGCTATACATAACTCTTAACGCAATTATATCACGTGCTAAAGCTAAATCTCAAGTACAACACTTGCAAGGGGTGTCCTCCCCAGCCTAACAACAGAAAAGACCGAACTTTCTTGACCCCCCCCCCCCCCCTCCCAACCCATGATTTACACCAACTATACTGCTTGTACACTAGCTGTATACTAGTGTATGGCGTGTTTAATAATAAATATAAATATTTTAAGGCTGCTCCAAAGCACCATTTTTTCTGCTGCAGAATCTGCTCCAAAAAGCAAAATGTCACTTCCATCACTGCAAGAGGGGTGTTTTTGGTATCATGAAAGAGTAGTTCACTAATACGAGAAAAATCATTTTGCTCATTAGTATTCCTTGAAACACACTTCAATGGCTACTTTCATAAGTGCCTCATCAATTACTGTGTTAACTGCAAAGGTGAATCATGTAAGCTTTCTTAGTAGACGCTATCAGAGTCTGTATTGATGGCATTTTAAGCCAATCGGAGAAGTTGTAGCAGCCCTTTATATTGTTGGGCACCTTTATGCATTTGTCAGCGAGAGGAACAAATAAAGGAAAGGCAGGTAGGTCAACAAGGTTGTACCTAGTTTGCTACCCTGAAACGAGGGAGAGGAAAAGAGAGAAAGCAAGAAAGAAAGGAGCGATACGTGCTCATGTCAAGCACATGTCAAGCATTCTCCATGCATACATATTCACAACTGGGGAGTGTGTGACACCAGCAAGTTCGCAATGCAGCAGAAGCCTGTGCATTTCAATTAGTTTGCCAAATAATAAAAACCTCTATCAGCATAATATACCCGACAAGTTTTTAGTTGGTTGGGAATGCGTGCAACATGGGCACAAATGTGTGTAGTCTATCATGCAGTGGAAGGATCAGTACATAGTTTGTGTGGTACCACAGGAACAGTGAGCTAGCTCTCTGTAAACCGAAGCATGGTAGGGATCAGACAGTGCACCAGATCAGTTACAACTGTGGATGTGCCATGAGAAATAAGCATGAAGTATGAAACAGATTTTGGGCAACCTTGATAATGCATTGAATTATGAGCTGATGCCGAATTCTGTGAAGCATTATTTCAGACCAATTTACATGATTGGTGTTAGATCAAAAAGATACAGAATGTTCAGTTTATTCCAGGCAGATTTAGATCATTAACCACAAGGACTTCATTTTTCCTCATGTATGGATATGAACCTTTAACATTAGCAAGTATTTGAGGGTTGATTTGATTGATATGTGGGGTTTAATGTCTCAAAACCACTATATGAATATGAGAGACGCCATAGTGGAGGGCTGCGGAAATTTCGACCACCTGTGGTTCTTTAACGTGCACCCAAATCTGAGCACACGGGCCTACATCATCTCCACCTCCATCAGAGTATTTTAGAGTTGAGTCTGGCGGTCTGTACAATACTTATAAAGTGAGAAAGTTCAAAGTGACTTCGAAAAGTTACTTTAAAAGAATGGTGTTATCAAGTTTCTGTGGAGCTTGAACGTTCTTTGTTGAAAACACTTTTTATTGCTACAGGAGGCATTATATACACTCGAAGATAAATGTTATTTTCTCTAAATTTCATGTCACCTAATTCATGCAAACTAGTTTCCATTTCTGGGCATGGAGTCGGGCACCGACATCACTGCGAGAGAACATGTGGGTTCACAAAGCTGTGAGCGCGCAGCGCTGCAGTGTCTGTTATCACGCACACAAGCAACTGTGCAGGTGCCTTCAACACTCATGAAAATTCTCTAAGAGAAAATATTAGCAAGTACGTAATTGTGGTTCACACAGAGACATTTCTTAAGTACTGGGTTATTGGCCTACTGTATCAGCATGTTGTGATGCTTTGTGCAGCCACATAAGACCGAACATGGCTGAAAGATTGCCTTGAAGACAAGTTCACTTCTAGACTTGATGGAAGAGTCTACTTGTTGAAACGTTGGTTTGCGCATACAAACACTGTAGACAGGTTTTTCTCATCACAATTATAGGTGTGTTTTTGTTTTCGTGGAGTGACTGTGGCGGAAAAATGTTTTAAAAAGCAACGCTTTCAAGCCTATGCTGCTGCTTAGAATTTACACCAACAGAAAAAAGAGAATAAGTTTGGTTTCTGCAACAGCAATTCTCTGCTTCTTGTTCATTCAAGTGCCACCAGGTGGCCCCTCTTATATGCAGATTCTCACGTTTACGGCAACCCGCTATTGCCAATGCAAAGAAAGTGTGCAAATGAATTAAACGTCCCGTGTCTTTGCAGGTTTACATGAAGATAATTACATCATGCGAGTGTCGTCTTTAAAGACCAGGAACAGATCACACGTGAAGTTATAGAAGCAGACTTGATTTATAAGCTTGGTGATTAACACGTTGACACCCCTCAATAAAAAGAATTTCCGCACATGACGCGAGTATCTGTCCCCAGTGATATGACAGCGCGATAAATCCTGTGTTTCAGAATAAATAAACCAGTTTGAAGTTAGTGCTCATTCGTTTGATGTCCCACAAAAATGACACACCGCTGAGAAGCTGACTCCTTGATTTCAAAACCTAAAAGCTTTCTTTATTCTAGCGGTATTAAAAACAGCCTACGCATTCCCAGACACCAATATACTGTTTTTAGGGTTCTCAACGCAGTATTTCAATCTAAGAGTGCTGATCTAAAACTATTTAGTATCCACGACAGCAACCTGTTATGTTTCTTTTTTCATTGCTATGGGCCAGCCACACCAGCTGGGTGCATGCACGTTATTGCAGTTTCCTTTCCCTTGTTCATCCAGGATATTAACTCTATTTCCTTTGCCCAAACCCACTCAATCATGCATTATATAAAAGTACAAACTTCATTGTACCAAAGTTGCATCCTACAAGAAAATAAGTTCGTTATATCCAAAAATTCACTACAAAAGTTATTCCCACCACTGTATATATTGACTATTTTTCACTTCGTTATAACTGATATTTAATTATATCCATGTTTGTTATACTGACGTACGAGTGTATTGCTATTGCTATTAATAAACTTTGTTCCACTACCAGCTAGCGTGCCTTTGATGCTGCAGCCTGTCATAGCAGATTACTACATTTTGAACATGACCAATGCTGCCACAAAAAGCACTTCCTTGCTTTCACCAAGCAGCTTTCATGAAGCGTGATGCTGGCTGGAACCATATCTGACGCAATGGGAAGAATTTGCATATTGCTGCAAATTGATGGGTGGAACTTTTGAGATGGAGGGCGGCTACCATACGTATGTCTTATAGTGTCGTCCTCATTCCTTAATGTGAAATATTGAATTCCAATGCATGGCTGCCTTATTGCAATGACTGAAAGTACGAGTACGTGACAGGGAAGTCGGTGACTGCAATGGCAAACTGCTTTTTACGCAAGAATATGAAGATACTGGTTGGACAGAAATGGGGAAAATTTATTTCTGGGGCTGCACGCTCCATCTGACTGACGAGAGCCTTACTGAATGAAAGTGGAGACCTTTCTACCAGAACATTCCCCAACACTGTGCAAGGACCGGACCTTTAGATGTTGCAGAAAATAAGCAATTGACTACAATTACAATTACTTCCATTAAAATTTAATCCATTACTGTCATTAATTACAGCCCTAGAAAAATAAATGAGCAGTTACAAAAATTTAATTACTTTTGCATTATGAACAACTACACAAGACACTTTCAACACAAATTGCAAGCAGCCAGAGAGAAGTACTGTCACTGAGTAGAAGTCAGTAAGACTTGAACCATTCATTCAGGTTGCTCTGCACTCACTCATATTGCAAGACAATCAAAAACACCAATGGGCAGCGTAGAGATGACTTTACGCAAGGCGACATTTTCAGTAATCACAGAATATGGTGCAATACAGTCGAACCCCTTTATAAGAGACACTGATATAAGAGACAAACGTGTATAAGAGACACTAGTGTGCCTACAATAAAGTGTGCCTACAATAAGAAATATAATATAGTGTGCCTACAATAAGAAAATGCATATGAGGTACACAGCTTACAAAAGACATCTCACATTAGAGACAAACTGCTGCTCGGAGCATGCCTCTTATAAAGGGGTTTAACTGTATTACTGGAGTAGTGAATTCAAGTTTCTCCCAAGCATGTTTGATTGATATTGGACATATACGAATTCCTCGTGTATAAGAAAGGCATATGAGCTTATGTCCACTGTTATGTCAAGCGTGTGTGGTGATCGCAGCCGACTGCTATGCAGAGCTTGCAAAAGCGTCTGCACGACATAGAAATGAAGGGTCTCACATTTTTGGTCGTTTATTTTTATATGCACCTATGAATGATATAAATATTACTTGCAGGTTATTCAACACCTGCATTATCTCACTGTCTTCCTTCTGAAAAATGCTGCACGAAATGGTGGCCACAGTCGGCAACGAGAGGTTTTTCTTTTCTGCAGGCACCAAACATTTGTGCCAAGCATGCTGCGAGAGAAACCTTTATTTCTGCCCGCATACATCCTCCACCACGGCTTGCATAAAGGCACCACAAGTCCGAGCACAGCAGCGTCAACAAAAGATACAACACTATCAAGCGGGCCCAGTTGCTGCTGCTGTCAGGTGCACACGGGTGGCTCGACAACATCAACGGCAGCTAGTCTAGTTACAAGCAAATGTTAATTCCTTCCTGGAATGATAGTACGCCCACACAGCCAGCCTCAGTGGCCCCCCTGGGGACACGTGGTGGGGTCGCCTTCGAGGGGCTTCAGCTCTCGAATCTGCTTGATGAGGTAGGCCTTCTCGTCATTGAACTGCTCGTCGTCCGACCTGTCCGTGTGGAACTTGCTCAAGAAGTCCACCAGCTTGTCCTTATTGCGCAGCAGGATGTCCAGAATGGGCTTTGGCTTGTTTGGGTTGGCCACAAACACCTGCACCACCAGCGGCATGCTCTACTAACAGCCTTTCATCTATCCACCACTCCACTCACCTTGAACACGTGGAAAGCTTCAAACTGAATGTTGCGGCTCTTTTCCTTGAGCATGTTCATCATCAGCTTAAGGTTTTCTGGATTGCTGATGTAGCGTGTCATAATGCTGAAGTTGTGCCTATCCAGAAGGAGCTCGCCTAGAAGCTGTAACCAAGCAGAGCACTGGTTTCAGTTCTTATGGTACTTCCATGACAAGGCCCTCAAAGATGGTGCTTAGACTTACAGTTAAGGGGGCACACTGGTCCTAGAAACTTTTTTTTTGCTTTCCAACCAATTTTAATGAAACTCCATGGGCTTGTTCCGTTTCTTTAGCTGATTTCAAATATCCAATTAGTTTTGATGTAAGCTAATTAGTTCCCGAGATAATTAAAAATCTTTCGTGATTGTTCTTGAGAACAATAGAAAAAAAACTAGTCAACAAAAAATTACCAGCATGGCATGAATAGATACTAGAAGTTGTGGAGAATGAAATGACGGAAGCAGTTTTTTTGTCTGGCAATCACACATGCAAGTTTACATCAATTCTAATTTCTCGGTTTAAAGTATGCCTGCTAACCAGTTATAAACAGTGCTAATTAAACAATGATTTAAACGTGAAATGCAAAATCTGTTTCCCTTACTTCAAGGTTTAAACATTCAGCTTGACAATGCAAAAGAAATTATCTTTCTAGCTGCACCGCATGCCAAGTACACCTCTCAAGAATTTCCTAAACGTCAAAAATATGCATTTTGAGAAAATAGCAAAAAACAGAACGGTGCCATGTTTAATGTAAACGGTAAAACATTCTGTACATTTTTGGAGCGAAATGACTAGTAGGCCCCAGAAGCATAGTCCCCTTGACTGCTGGCATCCAGGTGCCGCTTCTTGAGCGTCCGCTGCACATTTTCTGCAGACGCACGCCTGAGGGTAGAGTCCCTGGTTCGGCGGCGGTCTTTTTCAGCCATGCGTTTGCTACTCAGTAGGCCGGGGTTCAAGCACAGCTCTTTGAGGAGCTTGGATGATGTTACTTGACTTCCGGCATTAAACCTCATCACTGCCTCGGCGACCGCAGCTTCTAGACTGTGCAGTGGTGCATGGCGCTCCTTCGGGGCCAGCGACCAAATCACAGAGTGGAGACTCATTAGTGTTCTGAGTCTTGCCTCGCTGGCAGCTCTCCAGCAGCTTCTTGTCCGCCAACCGTTCGTACACTGGAAGCAAAGCCTCACAGACATGCGGCGGCAGGTTGTAGCGGTGTTTGGGGGCCGGCTCACCCCTGGCCTTGGCAGCGTTCTGGCGGCACCACGAGTCGGGACCTGTAGGTCACAGGCTGTGGTTGGACACGGCATCGTTGGTCGTCACATGGTGGTATGTGGCCATCACAGCATTGTGCATGGCTGGCACGTCCCCTTTGTGAGATTTGATGGCCCAGCCATAGTAAGAGGTCAATTTGTTAACCAGGTCACCAGTCAGCCGCCCCATACCACTGAGGCTCTCAGAGCCAGCTGGCCTCTCCTTGGGGAGATTGCGCAGTTGCGTGCCCATCCTCTTCTGAACGTGGTTCACACATTCCTCTTTGGTTACCTTTATAAAACCATACACATCTGCTTCCTTCAAAGCAGGGTAGGTGCGGCAGTCGCCATCAGAAAGAACTGTAGTGTATCTCAGCTTATGACGCTCCCATGACCCCTGAAACAGAATGAGCGCAGCTTCCACTTCCATCTCTCCAGCTTTTTTTGTGCTGTTTTTCTGGCAGTGGTAGTTCGCTTTCCACTCGTCGTAGGAGGGGTCACTTTCTTTAGGCGCCCGCTCGCAGCCGGCACAAAAATTGCAGAGCACGACATAATCGAGCACAAGCCTCGTAAACAACTTGATAACTGTGCCGACTCCGATGTGCGACGAGTGTCCCCTCGTCATCCAGGAACCGTCGTACGACACAGCGATGTTGCCCGGGTTGCCGAGGTCCAGTTCCGCGTACAGTTCCCGAACCGATCGCGTGCACTCCGCGGTCAGCTTTTCCGACGCACGAACAGCTGCGGGCGTCAGTATCGTCTTCACGTAGCTCTGCCACGTTTTGTTGTGCAGGCTGCGCGAAGAAATGTTCATCGATGAAAAAACGTCGTTGAATGCCGTTTGCTGATTGCCAGTAGACTGCATAGCGCGCGCGCCCAAAACATTGATGGCAAACGGCTTTGCCTTGCTCTCGCCGTCAACGCGCGGCGAGCTCCATGCCACCGACACATCGCCGCAGGTCGCGCACGTAAGCACTACCTTTACGGCAAGGCCGTACTCCCTGTCCTCTTTGCCGATGTTTACATCACCGGAGCACAATTTGCACTTCACTGCACGCATCAGTTCGTTCACCTGGTCCAAACTCGCGATCAAAAACCGTGTTTCGTCCAGCGGCGTGGCTGCGGCATCGTCGATATCGGCTAACAGGCCGCACTTGCGTTGTGTTGCTCCAGTTGAAGCAAGCTCTTGCAGCTTGTTTTCGGCATTGCGACGCATCTCTGCCACTTCTAACGGGTGCAGCACTGCAGTGTCAAGACGAACGCGGCCGCTGCCGGATCCGTTATCTTGAGCGGGCGGCGGCGGAGGTGCTAGGCCTATGTTATCAGGGGCCTTGCCGCTGGCCACGGAAGGTGGGTCGCTTGCTCGTTCAGCGCTCCTCGCTGACGCGGAGCGGCCTTTGAAGTTCTCGAGGAGCGACTTCTTTCTTTTTTTTTTGCCGTACTGATTCCTTGTGTGGAATTTCCTTCCGGCTTTCCACATCGCGCGCGATTCTTAGCTAATCCGCCGTTCTCAGTCCAAGCAATATGGCGCCTGACTGCGCCGCCGACGGCGCGAAGCAGACGACACACGCCGCTTGCGGCCAATCGCGTTGCGCTGTTCAGTCACGTGTGCTCGCCGACGAATAGGAACGCGTATTTTTGCTTTTTTTGGCACGTGTTTTCTACTCTACCAATGAGCGGACAGGAGCCAGAGTGGCGGGGCGGGAAATTGAAGACCGAAGACCGCGCTTTCAAATGAGACCTAGATCACTGCGATACTGCCCGTGGCGCAGCTGCGGGGAATTATTGAAAAATTGACATTTTGGCGTCAGAATCTCGCCAAATCGGGCCCGTACGGCTTTTATAAGTAGCTGTTACAGTTCAAGTACCAACTTTTCGGAGGAAAAACTGAGCAAACTAATAGAAAAATACCTGTAGATTTCAAAAATGACATCTAAAAAAATGTATTTTTGGGCAATTTTTCGGCCCCAAATACCCGTGTGCCCCCTTAATCAAGCTTTTTCAACTTCGGCTTAGGTCGGAAAAAATATGAAGTTTAAATATTCGGTTTGTGGGCAGAACTGCATTAAATAGCGATAGAATGGTCACGAAAAAAAAAAAACCTACTCAATTGCAAATTTATTATTGCGAAGACGTGGCATGCATTTAACATCAGGCAAACGATGAGCAGTCACAGCGTTTACCAACAAGTGCACAGGTTGTTACTTTAGGATATCAACAGTGTTCTTGCGCAAAAAAATGTGTAAAGAATATGAGAAAAGCAGAGCTCCATGGCATTTCTGCTACCCTATGGCAAACGAAATTTTTCCACTTGTTAGGATCTCCAGAAATTTAGTACAGTGTTTACCAATTGAAAAGTGCACAAATGTTATGTTTCCATCCAATCCTTGCCGCACAGAGTTGTACACTTGCACAGCACTGATACAGGCCAGCAATTCGGAAAGGCTAGCTTCATTGTAACACTTTCATTAGTGAGAGTTGCTTCCATATCATTGAAAAGATTTGAGCTTGAGTGGTTCTATGTTTGCAATTCCAACAGTTAGTTAATTGGTTGCGTGTTCTGCAACAACAATAAACATGTTTCCAGTTACAGTGGTGCAACAGGTGAAATGTATTTAGAGAAATCTTTGAAGCCGCGAAATCTCAGAGCAAAAAAATGTAAGTTTGAATTGGTATAAAAACAAGGCTGGCTTTAGAAAAAAAAAACATGTAATAACATGTACAAATAATGTTAATGTAGATATACTTCAAATGAATCTATGAACAAACCTGGGGACCTCTTTATTGCAGAGATTTGTAAAGCAGCAGAAAGTGGGGTTAGGAAAAAAAAACCCCCAAAAACTGAGGCACGTCTTTGTTTATAGTTTCTCAAGGAAGCTGAAATCTCATACACAGCTCTGAATGACTGCCAATAATTTTTTTTTAAAAAACACAAGTCAGCTCTGCCGCAATGCAAAAATATTATGCAGTGAAGCATACCAAAAAAATCAAAGGGTTGTTGTCATCCTGCCCCAGGACATGGCGTGGCCAGCTTGGTCCCATGATTCACACCGTTTGTTTGGCTACTATCTTGGATTGTGCTTTTACAAAGCAGTGTTCTCGTGTTTGTTGGCAGCTACCAGAGCGACAGGTGGTTCGGGTGTCCAATATCCAGATTGAAATATCTGTAGCTTGCTCACTAGAGTTATAGATTTCGCAATCTGTGCTCATGATGTTCCATGTGTTTCCTTCTCTTGTAATCATCTTTTCATGCTACTTAGGAACACTTCAAAGTTATTGTCGGTGACATTACGAAGATTTTTTATCATGTATGATTAAATTAGCGCATGTAAAAGTAAGTTTTAGAGGATGGATGCAATAGGTTACTTTTTAGAGTCAGGTTTAGGAGCGTATGGAGAAAGACCGAAGTAGAAGACTGCTCCACCAACCTTGAGGGATTGTCGCCTTGTGACATAATTCTCAGAGTTGAGGAGGTTCTGGTAGTGAGAGAACACCTTGTCATAGTTCTGCTCCAGGAATTCCGCACAGACCATCTTGTGGCGCGTCAGCAGTTCCTGGGTCACACACAAACATGGAAGCACTTTTTGATAGCTGGGAGAGAAACTGGAAATCTAAACAACGGATCTTTCCAGCTATTGCTGCAATGCGCTCGGAGCTCATGAAGAAAACAGAGTGCCCAATACTCATGGTCTAGGCAATGCCCAGAAAGTGCTGTTCATTGCCAGTGTGATGTGATTGACGCACATTATTCTTTGCACAACATTATTGCAGCTTTGCGTGCATTTTATCCCGCAAAAATTTCTCTGTCATGATAAAGAAGATTTGCTGCTATGCAACTTGGAGTGAGCTGATTGCAATCGCTCAGCCTTTAGTGCTTGTTTAGCATCCTTGGACTGATATCCTAAATTGTGAGCTTTTAAAGAGACCTTGTTGATAAAGATGACACCTGCAATAGCAATAACTATCCACTGGAATACACAGCACTCAATGAACACATCACACGAGATGAGAAAAAAAAACATGCGCTGACAGCCAACAGTTGTTTAATGCGCGTTAACACCAAAAATCACAAAAAGTCGATTTTTTGAAAACCACATATTCGGGTAGTATGTCTGCTTTATAAATAAAAATGTTTAATTCATCGTGAAAGTATGTAAAAAAAATATATAACATGCTGCGGCAGCCAGCGAGTAGCCAGCGAGCACTGAAAATACCCCTAATTCGGGCGTTTGCGATTACCCAACCACGCGCCCAGCTGTTTTGCTCGTGAATTCTTGCTTTTTTTCTTTTTGCCACCCACGGCAGCAGCAACAGCGTGGCTGAGGCAGGATTGCTCATGATTGGGGGGCTTTCGAAGTTTTGAAGTCTCTCGCGGCTTGGATGCGAAGCCGCGATTAGAGGAAGCGCACGCCTGTCGAAAGAGAGGGTGATCACGAAGCTTCTATTGGCTGCTGCGTGCGATGACACATCTGTTTCCCCGGCTCGCCATCTGCTCTGGCGTTCACTGCGCGTGCTTTGTGTGTCCCATTTACCATCATTTCGCTCGGTTTTCACACGTGCTCTTCAATCTTTCATTGTCTTTACAGGACGATCTTTCGCTGTGTTCACGGGACGCTGATTGTTGTTCTGTCAATAACTATGGGCAGGGCAAAAAGTTTAGAACTATGCATGCATTCTGTTCAAGAAAGCGCCCAATAAAGCTTATACACATGGTGAGGCTCGTCATGCACAAACGTGTGTGTGACAGTCACATCGATGCTTATCGCGACGTCGAGATGGCAACACTATCGGCGCAACGCTCTGTCGTCACAAATGAGGCTGGTGTTTGTGTTTCATGCTCAAGTGCACGTAATGCATTGCGCTCGCTAACTGCAGTGATTACGGCCTCAAACAGTGCGACCACAGTCATCGACTGTGCATTTGCCAACATGATGCTGTGCAACCAAACCTCGGCAGCTCGGCACTACGCCGGAAACCAAAGCTCAGCACTATGCCAGCAACCAACAGGCAGCGGAGAAAGACCCTTTGCGTGTGAAAAAGGTTCAAGAACGACTGCAACACATGTAAAAAAAGCGGAAAAAGAAAAAAAAAATCCTAGAGAACATTTCTAGCTACAATTAGAGGATCAAAGCATGCCGATTGCTATTGTGTTTTATTTGCTCTGTTTGGTTTGCCTGTAAGCAATCCATGAACATGTCAACATCAGGTCTTGGCTGTGAAAGAAGACATTTTCGGTGATCAGCACTGCCGAAAGCCAAAGTGGGTATAGATTAAAAAAAATAGGCAGTTATCTGTTGAAACCACTGGCCTGGCATTGCAATGTAAGGCAACAAAACTGACCTTGAAGGTGGAGAATGCATCCGAGGCAATGTCGAACGTAGACACCTCGACGTACTTGAAGAAGTTGTAAAATTCATCCGAGTAAAGAATGATTTTCGCTAGGGCCTCGTATCGCGCGCACTCCTCAGCATGGTGCCGCAGTTGAGGGCGATGTCCTGCTTCTCGTATCTGGAAATTAGATGATGCTCACTATAATTATGACAACAGTTTCTTACACTGTACTGCACTTAACTTTACATGTACACCTGTTTGGAATAAGCTAGATTGTAACCTAACCTGCCTAAAAACGGTTTATGGAAGTATGCTTCAGAAACAAGGAGGATGGAAACAAGAAAAGATAGATGCAAGTGCTTACATCAATGTCTATCTTTCTATGTCTGTTTCACCCTCCTTTTTGGGAAAATCTTGCAAGAACATTAGCCATGGAGTTAAAATTACGGGACTGTATCGAACCCGAGCAAACAAAATAATCCTTTACATTTAACTATTTTTTAACATGACAGAGCTTTAATGTTAACTCACAAGAAGGTTTATGAATAAATCAGACAAAAGTAGCCAAAATACCTGGTATTGTTATGCAGAAAACACTACGCAGGATCATATACAGTTGAGCCCAGATATAACGGCCCCGCTTAAAATGAACTTTCGCTTAAAACGAACAATATCCGCATGACGGCGAAAATATACATTGGTTCAATGGCACAAAATCGCACTTACAAAGAACGTCTACGAGCGCAACGTACAGTGAACGGGGCCGACGCTCAGCCGACTTCCCGGGAAACCACTTTCAACCACCCATCAGGCATCGGCAAGGTACCCATGCATTCTTATTGTTAACCGCCGACCCTGCCTCTGCGCCCCTCTAGTTGCCGCTCTCCTCGACCGCTTTTTGTTACGCAGCCCTTTGTTCTTTGTCCCTCCCGCTACTCTGAGAGACCCGCATACCTGACGAGGCCCGTGGTTTCACACTGCCACTGATCTTTCAAAGACCGGTCGGCCATCTCTTCTGTTTTTGATCGGTGGTACTGTCGTTGGCTTCGCAGGCCTGGAGTGACCAGATTATTTGCCAACATCGTTGGCCATCGACTGTATCCAATCCTCCGCGTCTAGTGCACGCGCGTACGCTACCCCACCGACTCTGATAATTTGCGATTCATTTTGTGTTTAGGACCTGTTATTGCTCATTTCGCACTCGACTCAGCACGCCCTCCGCACGCGTGCGAAAGCGTGAAAACGGCTGTTAATTTGCGCGGAACGAATCGTGAAATATGGAAGTCGGTAAAACCACGCAAAACAGCCGGCGCAACAAACAATTTTTTGACCACGACCGCCGATTCTTTGAACACCGCCACATTCCAGGCGGCCCGTGCTTCGACTTCTGCGCGCGGAGGCACTCTTTCAAGGTTTTTCTACGCGCGAGTTGCGCGCTTCGTGGACCTTTCAAGCAAGCTACCCGACCTACCTCCTTCCGGCGTGTTTTGGTTTTCAAGGTCGCCCCCCCTCCGCCGTGTCCTCCCTCTCTTCACTCTATGACAACTCCTAGCCCTTCTCTCGCAAATCTGCTCTCCTCTTTTGATCATCACCCCTTCGCCCATCTCCACCGCTCCGCGACGCCAGCCACGCTGGCTCGAGTTAGTTTCGTTTTTTGGCTAGAAACACACCCAGAGCTGTTCTACGTGTTCTGGCATGGTCACGTGTGCGCATCTTGCTCGCTCTTGGTGTGCGTGCGATCCGGATGACAGACGAAAGGACTTGCACGTGTTTTCCTTCTGCTCAACAAAATGCAGAAAGTGTGACCGCGTGGCTTGAGCGTAATCCGCACGTTAGGTGCCGCGTTGCAGAGCGCTTGCTTATAGCTGTTGACCACCTGGCAGCCAACTTGCTGCTTTAGGCGTCCCGGTAGTAGGTTGTGGAGATGGTGAATATTTTGCGGGCGGCGGTGACGGCTACATGCGCGCGAAACTGTTTTCACGAGGCCGAATTCGTCGATGTCGGGCCCAATGCCGAGCCTGAAGTTTCCAAACAGGATCACTTTGGTGGCGATTTGTGGCAGCACGCCGTCGACTCTGATGTGAGAGAGCAGGTGGAACATCTGTTGCGATAGTTTCATCACAACCGATGATGATGCCGACACCGCGGAACCGTGCACAGATTAGGACATTGTGAATAAAGTACGTGGCAAGAGTGATTTGGAGGAATCTAATTGCGAGAACGACGAAACTTTGGAGCCAGTCCCTCGTGCAGCTTATGCCACGGGCCTCCGTGAACAAGCACACTGCTGTTTGAAATAAACTAGAGACCGCCCTTATCGCCTCTGCTCTTCGAAACACATGCATCACCGACTTTTTTGGGCAAAAGAAAGTTCGTGTTTTCACTCGCAACTTTTTTAAAAGCTGTGTTTCATTTACTACGAACTTCGGGATACAGCGAACGGATGCTGCGTCAGGCTGAGGTTCGTTATAAGCGGGCTCGACTGTACACATGTTCACTCCTATGAGTAGATTTCGCATGAGCAGGCACCATGAGTCAGTGAATATTAGTGCTCGAATTTCATGTTTCAAGATAAATGTTGCTTGCGGTAAGCAATGAAGGAAATAAAATTAAACAAATATGTCCAAACTCACGAGATAAGCTATAAAACACGGGTAGGGTGAAATTCCCCATCATGAGTTGGCATCCTTCACCCTTTTATGACCGTGACAAAATCTTCTTTTTGGGCAACCAAGAAATTTTTTTTCCTGCCACAGAAATCAACTGATGTGCAAGTGTGGGGTATCAAATTATAGATACTTACGAACCCAACTGGTTCATGAATGCTATAACAAATGGTTTATAAATCCTATAACAAACTCAAAAGTGCTGTGATAAATATATCAGTACATAGTTCATTGTAAATAAACTCGCCCATAAACTCATTTACTTTGCAGCGAAACCATTTTCTTTTCAGTATTTTTACCGTATATACTCACATAATGATCGCACTTATCTTTTCAAAAAATTGACTCCAACTTCGGGATGCGATCATTACTCGGGGTTAATTTTTCGTGAAAAAAATATTCTGAGCACCGCAAACGCAAAAAAGTCGCTAATCAGAATTCTTGCGGTAGCTGTCATGAACATAACCAAAAATAAAAGTAAATTAAGGCTTACCTTTGTAATAAAATGCGCGCATTACGCAGAAGCTACATGCATGGCACACTGCCCTTTTATTTTTTACCTCTCTGACCCCCTAACGTTCATTCAGACTCCGAAGCATCACTGGCGTCAGTGTCGTCCCCGCACGATTCCCTGTCGGAACCGGCAGTGTCTTCATTATACCACAGAGGGTCATCTTCCGTTCCGTCGAGCGCATTGCAAATGCCAGCGACAGTCCATTCCGCCGCATGAAGCGCGTCGTCCAGCCGGAACTGGCGCGGAAGTCCTTTGTGGCTATTCCCAGCCTCCGGGAAACTGTGCGCGCCTGCGTCCGTATCATGTCTAATGACACTCCATAACCGTCCTTGCGCATGTCCTTCACGTATTCGAGGACTGCCTTTTCAATGTCAGAGAACTTGCCAGGCTTGGGTCCGCGGAAAGCCCATCGCGTGCTGTTAGTAGCCATGAGCATTTTGCGCCGTTTTTTCCGATATCAGATACGGATTTCGTCGACGCCGAAATGTCTGCCGGCAGCGCGGTTGCTGTGCTCTAGCGCGTAGTCAAGCGCCTTCAGCTTGAACGTGACAGTAAAGTTCACATACCGACCCATGGTGAAATGGCGCTTCAACAGACGATCACAAACCACACCGAAAAAAAAAAAAAAAGTGGTCTCAGAAAAAAAACAAAAACAAAAAAAAACATTGCTGCGGGATAAACACAGGTCGACCAACAGGCGGCCACCGCTGTAACAGTGTGGGATGTGAAAACAAATACGGCAACTGACTGAGCGAAGCCACCGTATTTCTTTTTCTTTGAGTCAGTTATGGATGTTTATTGATTGATATGTGGGGTTAAACGTCCCAAAACCACTATATGATTATGAGAGACGCCGTAGTGGAGGGCTCCGGAAATTTAGACCACCTGGGGTTCTTTAACGTGCACCCAAATCTGAGCACACGGGCCTACAACATTTCCGCCTCCATCGGAAATGCAGCCGCCGCAGCCGGGATTCGAACCCGCGCCCTGCGGGTCAGCAGCCGAGTACCTTAGCCACTAGACCACCACGGCGGGGCAGTTATGGAGGTTGTGAGTACGTCATGCGCGTCAAAACAGTTTCTTCCGTCTAAATAAGGAATGCTTTCATTCAAATCAGTAAATTTACGGCATTAGCATAGTGATGCCCACTTTCAGATAACAGAAACAATGATGGGCGCATTCAGCTAGACTTGGCACATGACATGTCGATGCGGCAAGTCCAGGGTGGGATCATTACGCGGGGAAAAAAAAAAAGTCGGAAATTTAGACGACAAAACTTAGGGGTGCGATCATTACGCAAGTAAATACGGTATTAAAAAGTGCCAACAGCCTCTCTACTGACAAGTTAAGCCTTCCTGCATTTAGGTGACACCTGTTCGCTCACGAGTGAATTAAACCAGATTTGCAATAAACTCGCACCGTTCCACTGAAAAAAAAAAAAAAAAAGAAAAAACGCACTTATAATCGGCAATATATGGCACTTCACTGCATTTCCAACAGAGGAATTTTTTTCACTGTATTCACAAGCAGATGCATGACTGAACATCCCCTTGCCATGAAAACGACCCGGGTTCGATTCCCACTCAGACCCAGAATTTTTCATCATTTATTTTATTTGCAACTCTTGATTTTTCGGTCATGCAAATATGATGACTTTTCGCTCACAGCGAATGACACCAACGCCGCAATTTTTGCAAAACGAGCTTTTTATTGCTATCGCATTAAAATATGAATACTACTGCCTATAAAAATATAAGCCCTACCCCTTGAGGTGCAGCATCCACATATGTGGACGCAACTTGTTTTTGTTAGTTCCTCGTATTAATAATAAAAAAAAAGGTCAAGAAACAGTTCGCATAGGACCAATTGAACCTTCTCTATAATTAACCCGTCTGGACTTGACCCCAATGTGCTTTTATGACTGCAGTCATCACTTTGATCAAGGCACCGCTATCTTCGAAGGGTCACTCGACGTGCCACATTCCCGGACTAACTTC